TGTAACGAAACATCAAAATTCGATTAGTACATTGAATCCTGGTACTTGTTTATGAGAAATGATGATGTTTCTCTATTTTACAGTGATTAGCAAAAAGCGCCACGCTTTCTCCATAATCAGCATTTATGTTAAAGCAGTTTAAGAAAATTAACTGGAAAAATGGATCATGTTATTCATAGAAGATTAAGATTAAAAGCCAAAGTTAAAAAAAACTAACTGGAATAGCTGTCCACATTCCGACGCTAATCCACATCCAGTTCAATATGATCATGGATGCAGAACTCGGACCCAAAGTTTGAGAGAAAATGTTTGCTGGAGAGTTGAGGCAGCCCCACGAATTTGAAGCAAGTGCCAATGCAGAATATATTATGTTGACAACGCCTGCCAGACTAATGGAGCATGCTACCAACGCTATTATTAGACCAAGAAGACGACCGTGCATTAATGATTTTTTGTAGGAGTTCACTGATATAATTCAAAATATTACTATTGGATTGTTTCTAATTGGAGAATATCGTTAAAGCTTGAGTGAGTTAATGAAATTTAATTTCAAGTAATAATTTAATAAAACTTCAAAATGTTGTCAAATAAAATTGTAAAAGCAGAACAAATTTGATAACGTTATTTATTTAATTGTTTTAATGAACTTTTGAGTTAGTTGATCTCTGAGTATACTTACGTGCATTTGTCATCAGGTTGTCATTCAGAGACCCGTAAGATTCATTAGTGTTGAGTAAATTTGTTTTAGTATGGGGAGCGTTATTGAACATCCCGTTTAGGAGAGAATTTGAATCTTGTCCAGTTGTGCCGGTCATGCTGCTTTGAAAGATTGTGGGACCTTGTGCTGGATTTTGCATCTTGAGCTTCTGATCTACCTATTGCTAATAAATAATAATTTTGGCTGGCTATCTGCTAAACTTTAAATCATGATTTTTAAAGTTAAAATATTCGTCGTGTGATTTCATTAATAATTAATTCGAAATGATAATAGTTTTAAAATGTTTATTAAGGTTTTTTGGTAGTTAAATATATGACATAAATTTCATCACAAAACAATTCAGCAAATAAATTGTAAAAATAGTTAGTTGAGAAATAGCATCATCAAATAATCAACGAAAATATTAACTAGTCTCAATGAATTTAACAACATACAAGACACAAAATTTCGAAGTAACTCAACTATAAAACAGAGTTGCCATTGTTCAACATGCACTTTGTTAAGACTTGCTTGCTGTTCATTGAACAACATGCCACTGCATGACAGTGAAAGGTTATTTATGAGTGCGTGATTTTACTCATTTGATGTATGTATGTATTTTATAAATAGAGTTATATGAAGTATGTATTTTATAAATAGAGTTATATGAAATATGTGAACCAAAAAATATATAGAATACATTTTAATACAAATTGAATAATATTTATAATATACCATATACAGCATATACAATTATATACTGTCATTTAATATTATAATATTTAAAACTCTATATATACTTGAAATACACGTAAATGACAATTAACTGATAAAAATTTTTTTATCAGTTAATTGTCATATATATATATATATATATATATGACAATTGTCATATATATATATATATATATATATATATGTGTGTGTGTGTGTGTGTGTGTGTGTGTGTGTGTGTGTGTGTGTGTGTGTGTGTACACGTATATATATATATGCAGATTTCATTGAATATTTTTGCCCACTTCGCGTTAATTAACTTTTAAAAATACACTCAACGATATGGACGTCTAATTTTATAATTAAGAACAACATTCGACCATCAAATAAACTAGAGAAGACAAACCTCGTGTACCGATTCAATTGCCCTATGCCACACAAAGTTGGGGAGAATTACATCGGTCACACAAGAACTACTCTCTCTAGAAGACTCACCATGCATACACAAGACGGCGCTATTAAAGAACATATTGAACAAGTACATCGTTTGCCTCTTAGTAGAGCAATGCTGGATCCAAACACAACTGTGCTTGATTTTGAACGTAATCCAATCCGTCTAAAAATTAAAGAGGCCCTTCATATCAATAAACTTCAACCTTCACTGAATAAACAGCTCAGCTGTTTTGACCACACTCTTCAACTATTTTCGCAATACCGCGACCTCACACCCACTGTCGTTTTCGATGAAGATCCAGGTCGTCAATGCACACAACAACAATACGAGTATTGTTCGACGTTGGATGCATTCAAACCGGCTAATGCGCAGTTTTTGACCCGACGTCCTGAAACAACAGTTGTTACGTCGCTGACCCCACTATTTAATATTAATACTGTTTTTACACATGTGTATACACATGTATCATGCATACTTTCATATTCATTAGATACTTTCCTACACATGTACAACACTTATATCCCCTTCATACAGCTGCATCACAGCTTTAACAAGTCTCTCATTCACTCTTTTCTTCCTCAACGCCCATTCAATGACCTTCTTCGGTACTCGATCAAAAGCCTTTTCTAGATCTACAAAACACATTTACAATCTTCGTTTCTTCTTTCTATAATTCTCCTGCAACATTCTCACTATGAACAACGCATCCACCGTTCCCCTACCAGGCATAAACCCACACAGCATTTCATTAACTGTCACCATATTTTTCAACCTTCTCTCAAGCACCCTCTCTACTACCTTCATTCCATGCTTTAGCAATTTTACACCCCTATATGACCCACAATCTCTCACATCTCTTTTGCCCTTATACAACGGCACTAACACACTGTCGCCAATCATCAGGTATACCCTCATCATCAAACATACTGTTAGCAATTCTCATCATAACTTCAATTCCTATCACCCCACTCGCCTTTATATGTTCCGCCGCCACTTCCAAAACCCCTGTCGCCTTACCTAGTTTCATTACTCTAACTGCTTTCTCTACTTCCTCCATCGTCACCTTCTCTATGGGTCCGTGTGTGAAATTCAAAACAAAAATTTCGCAAATATTAAATCAAGGGAAGAAGACAAAGTTTTGGATTTTGATTCAGAAAAACAAAAATTGTATACTACACCAATCACCATGAGAGAAATGATGTTTGAAATAATTAATAGCAATGAATCAACTCCTGGCCCAGATCAGATTACCTATAAGATGTTAAAAAGCCTTCCTCAAAAAGCACTATCAATACTTTTTAGAGTTTACAGTTACATATGGATTAACGCAAAAGTTTCAGATATTTGGTGTCAGGCAATAGTCGTGCCCATAAACAAACCAAAAAAAGTCAAAACTCATCCAAATAACTACAAACCAATTTCATTAATTTGTTGTACCTGTAGATCATGAAGAAAATAGTTAGTAAGAGACTAAAATGTTTTCTCGAAAAGCATCAAATTTTGTCTAAATATCAATGTGGAGGTATCAAGGGAAAATCTACGTTAGATCATTTGATATCACTGAAAACTCACATAAGACAAGCTTTAACACAGAGTGAACAAGTAATGACTCTGTTCTTGGACATTGAAAAGGCCTATGACACAGCTTGGAAATATGGTATCCTAAAAAATTATATGAATCCGGATTAAGAGGACGTCTTCCCAAATTCATTCAAAGTTTTTTATCAAACCGGTCATTTGAAGTCAAGGTCAATGATGTCCTTTCAGAAACGATGCGTCCAGAGTTGGGCATCCCTCAAGGCAGTATTTTGTCACTAAAGTTATTCTGTCTTAGCTTAGATAGCATCACCAAAATAATTCCTAAAAACACGATGATCTGCCTTTATATGGATGATGTCAAAATCACTTTTAAAAATAAAGACATGATAAAAATACAGAATGAAATGAACAAAACGCTAAAATCCATTGAAAATTTGGCATTGGAAAATGGAATAAAATTTTTTGAATCAAAGTCTAGAGCTATACTTTTCTCAAGAAAACAAAAGAGGATTTTTCCAAAGTTAAATTTTCAAGAAAATAAATTTGAGTTCTCACAAGAATACAAATATTTAGGAATAATTTTTGACTCAAAATTAAATTTCATTCTCCATATTTTGGAAACAAAAAGAAAATGCCTAAAATCACTCAATTTAATCAAAGTGTTATCCCAAAATAAATGGCGAACAGACCAAAAGCATCTGATATCAATTTTCCAAGCAACTATACGAGCAGTATTGGATTATGGTTCTCTAATATATGGCTCTATTTAACAAACGACCTTATTGTTGAAAATTGGCAGCAGGAGTGGAATAAAACATCAAATTTCTTAAAATTAAGTATGCCGTCAGTAAATAACAAAAAGCTCAAAAATAGTTATTTAAATCGTCATTTTCAGTCTGTTATCAATAGATTAAAAATAGAACATTCAGCAATCACACATTCCTGGATCCTCAACAAAACAAAGCCACCTTATTGTGAAGCCTGCGACAAAAAACTGTCTATTCAGCATATATTAACTGAATGTGAAAAATATGATCAGATCAGAAAGAAACTCGGGGTTCCATCAAATGTAGAATTGCTCTTCCAGAATAGAAGCCAGGAAGTCTTAATTTCATTTGTGGAGGAGATAGATTTGATCAACAGAATTTAAAGTTTTCTAGATGTCACAACAAAATAATCAGTTTCTAATGATCAATAGCGTTAAAATAGCCGCATCGTGCTGAAACGCCGTTAAGCTGCAAAAAAAATAATAATTTTAGAAAATTTTGTAAAATTTGAATAAAAAATATAAGTAGTTAACAAAAAACTGTACATGTATTTTGTGCATGTCCATTTCCGTATTCAATTTTTCAACATATTCATCGTTAAAAACATCGTTAAAAATGTAATATTTGTAATCTATAGTTTACAATATACATAAAGGGCATTTATTGATACAAATTAAATAGCAAAATTACACAAAAAGTTTATTTCAAATTTAGACTGCTGAAAGAAATTGTAGAAATGCATAAATTTCTAGTAACGGTACGTGGTAGTTTTCTATATTTAAAAAGAATTTATTATTAAATAATTGTTTATGAATAAATAATTTGCACCCTATAACTTGGTTGAGAGAGTGTTGTGAGGCGAGTTTTCATTTTTAAGCACTTGGTCATAATTAAAATCATTTTTGTACTCTTCATTTCCATTCAATTTGGCGTTTAAATATCTCTCCCAACATCGTTTGAGCAACAAGTAGACCAGCTCTACAATCTCCACTGCACTCGCCACAGTTATTCCCAGCCAGAGGGACAACATCCCTCCCACTGTCCCTACCATCATGTCACTTGTGTATACGGGCTTGTCCATCTGGAAATAAGGAAAGTTTTGCTTGATCAAGAATTTTATTTCCAGTAGGGATTCACTTATTTGAGTGAAGTTAGAAAAAGATGTGTTTACATAGCTGCTGTTGAAAAATTGGTTGTAATAATTGAAGTAGTTAATGAATCGTGTTTTCACTCTTTGGTGATTTATACAGCCTCTTTTGATGAAATATTTTTCAAATAAATCCAGTTGCACAGAAGGTTGTGGCCAGGCTACAGAGGTCAGATAGAATTGGTACATAGTTTCCTCGCAAGGTATTAAACATTTTTTTACGCAACTCTTTTCATTTGTTTCTGCAAAATCTGCAAATTATTGATCAAAAATTTTAATAATTCAAAACGTGATTTTAATTAAAAATACCGCTTAACGTCCAAGTGAAAGAATTGCACAGACAAATGACGGAATCCGCAATCAAATCATCCAGCGTAGATTCGTTATTTTGCGAATGTAAAAAGTAAGTGAAATTTCCACAGAGCGGGATATCATCCATTTCCTTGTCTGGCACACTTAAAAGATGCGTATTGCAATCGCATAAATTTTTCATATTATCTTGCTGACAGTATTCTGTACACAAGTCATGTGTGTATGTTTCAGATGAATTTGATAGCATTTTCTCATCTGTGCAATCTAACCTGCAATTATGATTAATTTTAAAAATTATATTAGTTATAAATTGAATAGACAAGATGTAGTGATTTCAAATTCTTCCAAACTTGTTGTACGGAACTTTCAAACGTTTTCTTTCAGTTTGAATGATTTCCACGACGTTTTCAGTCCCAGGAGCCACATTGAATCCACGCTTAAGATCAGGAGAGGTTCCAGGACTGTGCACACTCACCTGTACTCCTCTTGATTGAGAACTTGTAAATGATGATTTGTACGGGATTTTCATAAGATTAACCGGACCCACGTTTAATAACAAATCCAGTCCTCTAATCGATTTTGAATAGGATTTTTTTAATGCGCCGGTCTTCAACGTGTAGCATGTATAATAATTTGCATTCCAACGTCTTGTGAAATTGTCAACGGAGCACGCATCTTTCATTTCGAACCAGTTTGAGCCAAAAAACTTGCAGTCAACAATAAAGTTTGGACAATCAATCAATTCCGGTCTGTTTTTATTCAAATTCATAATATAACCCGACACCGACGCCATTTCGTTGAAAGCGTTATTCACAATTTTCATACTCCAACTCTCGTTGAAAGGCGGATCATTTCCAACAATTTCTAAGAATCGGTTTTTGACTGTTTTTAATTTTATCAAATATTCATTCAGTGAAAATTCTTCTGATTCGCCTGCGTTGAAAGGATCTAAATTGCATATCGTGATATCCGGAAAAAGAATATTTTGTCCAATCTGCGATGGCAAATTTGATATCGGAATTTAATCATAGTTAAATATTTATGCCTAATCAAATATTTTAAAAAATGACATGTAAAAATTTATTTTGGCAACCCTTTTTTAATGTTAAACGTAAAACTGAAATCTCTAAAGATACCACCATTCAATGATTTCTCAGCTGCATAAATAAAAATAATAAATTAACGCTACCAGCACCGCACTTTCAAAATTTATCGGCGTGTTTCAAACAACGTATAAACCTACGACTGCACACGCGCTAAATAACTTTCGGGCGTATCATACCGGATGTATTTGCTCACAAAACAGGTAAATGCAACCCAAAATTCGGCTCTTTAAACATTAATCCACCACGCCCCTTCAGTGAAAAAATTTTAATACAAACTTTTTCTCCATACTCCGTCGTAACAGGGTACGTGTAATAATCGTTCAACAGAATGCACAGACTGTAGATCATGTATGTTGTGGATCCAACCAGCAAAACCAGCCAAAGAAACCTGAGGAAGAGATCGTTCGATTTGAAATACTTTGATATTCCCCTCACTGAACTGTTCTCTCCGTACTTTATGATTTCTGATTTTATTACTTGGCTCATCTTTAACTCCAATGGATTTGTCATATGTTTTCTAAACGACAACTTGATTTTTTAACGAAATAATTTTGATAACATAATATTCATGTAGTTTATTTGTATTATATATTTACTTAACACTTAGCAAAAATTTATGAAAAACTCATGAAAATGTTTTTAGAATTAGAAATAAAAAGAGTGTTTTATTTTATTAAGGTACCTATATATGATATAGTTTAAGCTTATTCAAAATCAACTCATTCATATGCATTCAAAATTCTTAGAATTAAATAGAGAAAGAGAGAACAATGAGTAACGATTATAAAAAATAAAATATAAAATTACAATTTAAACTTGGAACAAAAAACGATAGTCTTTTCATTCGTTGTCTGAAAACGCAACTGAAATTCAACAACTTGCCAATTATAAAAGACATTTTGCAATGTGATGAAAAAATATCTACTTATATGACACCTGAGCTGAATACACAAAAAAGCAATACTCACGTACAGCTAACCAACTACAGTGCATGCACAAATAACCAACCAGCAACAATGCACCCATATACAACCAGCATCAATGTACGCACATTCAATGAACCACTCACATGCAACCAGCAAACAACAATGCACTCACGTACAACCAACCAGCAACAATGCACTCACATACAACCTGTAAACAAGAATGCACGCATATTCAACCAACCAACAATAATGCACAAACGCCCACTCCGAAAATTGAGCATACTGAAACTGAAAAATGACCGTCACCATTATAATCATTTTGTTGAAGGTATTTAAAACATTGATTTTTTATAGAATGTTATATATATATATATATATATATATATATATATATATATATATATATATATATATATATAGAGAGAGAGAGAGAGAGAGAGAGAGAGAGAGAGACTGCATTTTTCATATATATATTTACATAAAAGCTTTTTTTGGTAACCTTTACCATCACCAGTGTAAAAGAGTTTGCGATATTGTTATATGTAGTTCATCTGGTATTAATAGGATTTTTAACAAAGAAATTTTAAATTCCATTGTTTCTTTGTTTCTATCATTGTTACTTTTGATGTCATTACATCTATCATTTCATTTTAAATAGTTTTTCCACGGTAGTGATCAGAAATATTTCCACCCATCGAAGGTCCGATTCCAGACATCACTGTAAGAGGAGCTTACAGAAGCTCTGAGAGCTATGAAGGATGGAAAGGCAGCAGGGCCCTCTGGACTCACAAATGACATTATCAAAGAATCTGGTAATGCAGATATGCAAACGTTACTACAACTTTGCTGTGAAATCTGGAGAAATTGCTCAATGCCGACTGAATGGAACTATAGCATGACAGTCCCGCTATACAAAGGCAAAGGTGATCCATTGAACTGTTCATCATATCGGGGTATACGTCTGTTAGAACACTCCCAGAAAATTGTCGAAAAAATCATTGAGAAAAGATTAACGTCGTACATCACAATCGGAAATTATCAATTTGGTTTTCTAGCGGGGAAATCAACAATTGATGCAATTCACATCCTTCGGCAACTGCAAGAGAAGTACCTCGCAAAGCATCAACAACTATCACACATTTTTGTAGATCTTGAAAAAGCATTTGATCGAGTTCCCCGTAGAGCAATCGGGTAGAGTCTACGTAGACAACTCATTCCAGAATATCTTGTTCGACTTGTGATAGAAATGTATACGAATACTAAGACTCTCGTCAGCACATCGGTTGGAAACACAGATGCATTTGACATCGGCATTGGAGTTCACCAAAGCTCGATTCTCAGTCCACTGTTATTTATAACTGCGATGAAAGAAATCACAAAACCAATACGAACTGGTGACATTTGGAATCTTATATATGCTGATGATATCGTTTTAACAGCCACGTCTGAGCAGAATGCAGCACAGATGCTTGAAGATTGGAACACCAGACTCGCTGATCATGGATTCAAAGTCAACATCAGCAAAACCAAAGCAATGAACACTGGTAAACCCATCCAATCCACAGCTACTGGACAATGACACTGTTCAGTTTGTAAAGCTGGTGTAGGTAACAATTCAATCAAATGTCAGCAGTGTAACCAGTGGTGTCACAAACGTTGTTCAAAAATAATTGGTTCTTTATCTAAAGTGTCCAATTTTGTTTGTCCTGCTTGCATCAATCCACAACAAAAAATTCGATTTAGCACTGTTTTTGAAGCCATTAAAATAGAGAAAGTCACATCGTTTCAATATCTAGGGGATGTTCTGGATTGTACTGGGACAGCTGAAGCTGCCGTTCGAGCACGCATACGTGCAGCCTGAAATAAATGGCATCTCCTTGCTTCTATATTAATGCGGCGTGACATCCCACTACCACTACGATCAAGACTTTATAAATCTGTGATACGTCCGGTGTTGTTATATGGTGCAGAAACATGGCCAACAACTTCAACGAACCGACATGAAAATGCTCAGATAGATGCAACGAATTAGTCTGAAGGACCACATCAAATCTACCGAAATCCTGCGTCGTGCTAGTTTAGATGATATAAAAGACGAATGACAGCAACACCGTCTGCGGTGGTTTGGTCATGTCAAACGAAGTGGAAAGAGTGCCATAACTTCTCTTGCAGATGTTGAAGTACCTGGCACACGTCCCAAAGGCCGCCCAAAAAAGTCCTGGTCGCAAACAATCGAGCAAGACATGAAAGCTCTAAATTTAAATGAAATGGATACAACTGATCGTCTAATTTGGCGCAAAAAGTTGATGGCAAAGAAAACAACGTTCTACCTCGGGAAACCGGGTCTCTGGACGCAAAACGAAGATTGATAGTGATCAGAAATATTTCTTTTCAAAGCTAGTGGGACGTGGTTCAATATTAAAGGATCTAATTTTGCGAGTAATTGTACCAGTAATAAAAGTTTACCCTTATTAACTATATATATGGCGTGATGGCCTAGTGGTTAAGGTCGTCTGGAGCTGTTTCGCAGTAACCGGGTTCGAATATGACAAAAAGATCCCCGCCTATCGCTACTTCGTGTGTGATGCGTCGTTTAGCATTGATTCATATACGATGTTTGTGACGTATTGTTGAATCCTCTGAACCTTGGAAGAGAGTAATTGACTTCTCAACCTTTATATAATTTATCAGAAAAATCTCTGAAAGCCATATTATTTTTTGCTAAAATAAAGTAATATTCATCAATCGATCAAGAACGTTTCACCATCTTAAACTATTTTTTTCTAATAACTTTTGTTCTTGTTCATCAATAGTTTCACCGACTTTCATTCTTATTTCTATCTCAATCCATTGTTGATAAGCATTTCCGTGAGACACACTGTTTTCATGAATTTTTAATGTTTCTGCCATATTTTTCCACTTATTAAACACATCTTCGAATAAGTCAAAGAGCTAGCAACAAAGAGCTAACAACAAAAACAAAATACACCATCGTTAGAAACAAGCCAACGTCGTGAAATAATTTTACCATTTGAGAGACTTTGATTATAATAAGCATTTGAAAAATATCGACATTATAATTTATTATTTAGTTTATTAATTAATTTTGTTAATTTAATTAATAAACTAAATAATAAATTACACTTCATTATTAGAAAAATAGAAAAATTTAAATTTAAAATAATAAATAATACTAGAGTGTTAAATTTTAATGAAAATTGCATATATATATATGTGTGTGTATTATGTATTATATATTCAGTATATATATATATACATATATATACAACTATATATATATATATACAGAATATATTTAGATGTATTTCGACATGATGATGTCTTCGTAATTGCAATGTTTTATGAACAAATAACAGCAGAGACAAAATTTTCACACAAAAAATGTTATTTAAGTTTGAAATATATTGATATATAATGAAGCACTCGTTGTTTCAGGTGCGCTTGGTTGATCGATTATTGGCAGTGCTTGAAAACAATTAAAAAGGAAAATAACTTAAATAAAATAAATAATTTTTTATTGATGATTTTAATAGGATAAAGCGTAAAACTCGTTGTCAAGCAATTTGCGATAAATTATTATATTAAAAAGAGTAGTTAAACAGTAATGTTTAGAAAGCCTATTATTTTTCTTAAACATTTCTATTGTCAAATCCCACCTCGTTTGCCTGTCGTCACGCCGCTCCAAATGTCTGGAATGCGTTACCTCTTAAGTTGAGACAATGTTCCTCGCTGAGTGTTTTTAAAATCTTCACACTTATCTACATCAATAGAATGAGTAAACTATATTTGACCACTACTATTCTACAACCCAGATAAAACTGGAATTGTTACCATACCCTTTCCTTTCACTTTCAGTTTCACCATTAAATCCGCTATAAGCGCTGTATCATCGACATATCTTACATTGTTTATATTCACGCCTCCAATGCATATTCCAGATAGATCTTCTATCGTCCTCATGATGATCTCACTATAGAGACTGTACAGGTCTGAAGAGAATACACAGCCTCGCCTAACACCTTTCTTTATTTTGACAAAACTAGTCATCTTGTTACCAACTGTAATCGCTGCTCATTGGTCCCATTAGAGGTTTTTGATAACTCTCGTGTCTTTTCCATCAATGTCCAAATTTTCCAATATTTCCATAAGCTCCACGTGTTTCACGCTACCAAAAGCTTTGGAGTAATTGACTTAACATATAAACAAGTCTTTTTTCATTTCAATCGCTCGTTCACTGATCATTTGTAGCATAATTCTCGGCAAAGCCACATTGGACATTCAAAATTTTAGATCTGATTTTATTTCGTGCACTCATCATTAGAATTCTCGAGAAACATTTTGTAAGATGACTAATCAAGTTGATTGTTTGATGTAGTTCACATTCGGGTGCATTAGGTTTTTTAGGCATTGAAATATATATTGACTTGGATAGATCTTCGGAAATTTTGCCGCTGTTATATACCTCATTCAAAATTTCATTAACTTTTTCAATGCCAAATTCAACAAGGCATTTAATTTCTTCAACAACTATCTCATTTGGGCCTGGTGCTTTATTTGATTTCATTTTGAGAAGAGCGACACGAACCTTCAGATCCAAGTATCTTTGGTCCTTCTACGTCTTTTTTATAGAAAATTCTTCACTACAGATATCATCGAAAAGATCGTTTATGTATTTAGTCCATCTTTCAAGTAATTCTTCTTTTTCTAAGATTTCTTTACCGGTTTTAGCTTTTATGTACCCAGAAACGGTACAAGCTCTTGTAAATTTTTTGATGCTTTTATATATTGCATTTGTATTACTGTTCCCAATTTTTCAACAATTTCGCACTTGTCATTTAATCATTTTTCTTTTGCCTCTAAGCACATTCTGTTCTGTACAGCTTTTTGTATTTATCAAGATTGCAGTCTTTTACTTTCTTTCGTTCATTTATCAAAGATACGATGTCAAATTTTTTATCTATTTCTGGTCTCTTCTTTGCTCCTTCACAGTTATAACTTCTTTTTCAGATTCTGTGAGGGCATCTTTAAATATTTCATATTTAGATTTATTTACGTCTTCCGTCAATAACTGAAAACGATATACTTGATCTCATCATTTTGTGACAGAGTGACAAAATTCAAATTTTTTTGGGCCACTTCACACTTGATTTTTTTTAACTCTATCTTGATTCTACAAATAACTGGGTTATGGTCACTGCCACAATCAGCTCCAGGGTAATTTTTGCACTGTAAAAAAGCATTTCGAAATCGTCTAATAATGTAGGTAATCGGTCATATTTCTTACATAGTCTCCGGGACTCTTTCAACTATATTTAATATTTAAATGTATATTATTACAACTTATGATGTTTTATATGTTTTATTTAATATAAATTCAATTTAACACAGTGTGCGTTACGATATCTCGGTATATTTAATAATCGTCCAAAAGATACTAAATATATAAAGATACAAATGTCACATCTCCCCTTTTGAAAGTTCAATTTTATTGTTTTTATTTAATACACATATTTAATTAACAACAAAGTCCTTGAATCTAACAAAGAGTTTTGATGAACGACTACTCCGTGTCTTCAGGATGGATTCTTGGGAAGACTGTGTGGTGTCATCTGTTGGACTGTTGCACTGAGGGTGAATTGGGGATTCCAACCTTTGTGGTTGTGTTGCCTCTAATGGTGAAAAATGATCTGTGCTATCATCTACTGGTGCTGCGCATATAGGTGGATCTTCTTTGGCGTAGATGAGATCTCTTCGGTTCCGTCTTAAAGTTGAACCATCCTCTGTGTCAACAATGTATGATCTTGGAGCTTGATGTTTAGAACGAACAATTCCACGTTTCCATGTTTCATTGTGATTCATACGTACTACATCTCGTTCGTTCAAACTTGGAAAAGGTTTCGATTTACGACCATAATACTTTTTTGTTGTTGCTAAACTAGATTATCTCTTGCATCTACAACTTTTGGATGTAAGTTTTGACTTGTTGTTGGAAGCTTGGCTCTTAAGGAACGACTCATCAACAGCTGCGCTGGACTAAAAGCAAGACCTTATAATATGGCATTTCTATACAGTAAAAGTGCAATATATGGATCTGTATTGCTGTCATAGGCTTTTTTAAGGAGATTTTTTACTATCTGAATCATTCGTTCTGCTTGTCCATTTGTCACGGTTCAAGGGTGGATGTTGAGCGCCGCATCATTTAATTATATTATTGCTGCGGGGTAGGACGGCGCGTCGGGTAAATAAAGGCCGGTCTCGTCAGACAGAAAGAAAGTTTATTTTTATTGTAGAAAATTGGTTGGTAGAGTTAGTTATTTTTATTGTGGAAAATTAGTTGGTAGAGTTGGTTAATTTTATTGTAGAAAATTGGTTGGTAGAGTTAGTTATTTTTATTGTAGAAAATTAGTTGGTAGAGTTGGTTAATTTCATTGTAGAAATTTAATTGGTAGAGTTGGCGTTTTTGGTGAGAAATTGGACACGCAACCGTGGTTGGTGAAGTAGCTGTTGGTTGGTAAGGTATTATTGAGAGAAGTTTCATTTGTTGGTACGTGGGTGGTAGTTAGTCAGTAGTTATAAAGGAGAGCTGAAATACGGTACGGGGTTGTTATGAGCTCAACGACGACAAACGTAAGGTAGCGAACGAAGTAGTTATCTGTTGCGTTGGAGGGTGGCGAACGAAGTAGTTGCCTTTCAACGTAACAACAACGTTTGTCGGTTGGGTAAAGCACAGGTGGTGCAATATTGGTACAGAAGACGGCTGGAACCAAAAGATTCAACCCCACATAACACCAGTGTTCGAAATATTCTACATTGTTGTCAAGTGAAGAAGTTGAAACAGTATCCGCTCGTACGTGGTCACAGCACTGGCAGGAACAAGTCTGCACGCTAACCTCGAACTTTAACTTTTATTTTGGTTTTCTTTATTGACATTGTATATTTATTTGGTATAGTTTTCAGTTTACAGAATAAAATTTTTTTGATTTGTGTCTACGTCTCAACCTTGCCGCTAAGAACCCACTACACCATTTGACTTAGGATATCTTGGACTGGATGTTATCTTAAAGTGCCAATCATTTGCAAGTCTGTGCATCTGGTTGCTAGAAAATGGCATGTTGTCTGCTATTATTTCTTCAGGTATTCCATGCCTAGCAAATATTGCTTTCAGTTGTAATATGACTGAATCTGATGTTTTTGTTCCTAATAGGGCAATTTCTGAAAACTTTGAAAAATAATCTATAACCAGTAGGTAATCTTTACCTGTAAATTGAAAAATGTCAACTCCAATTTTAGCCCAAGGTCTCTGAGGGATTTCATGTGGAAGCAATGGCTCTGATTGTTGTTTTCTGCGGTGTGAATTGCAAACTGAACATCTTTCAACCATTTTCTCAATTTCACAAGACAAACCAGGCCAGTATAACCAAGAACATGCCATGGTTTTGGTTTTGTCTATTCCAAGATGACCTTCATGTAACAAAAATAACATTTCTTTTCTCAAAAATTTTGGTACGATGAGTTTTCTTTCATAAAATTTCATAAAATAAAAGTCGATCAAGCTTATAAATGTAGGATGCAATTTTCTGAAAGAATTTCAACTCTATGGGTAATTCTTTCATATTCACAAAGAAACCATCTCTTATCTACGACTGTAGTGTCGAAAGATGTGGATCTTTGTGTGTTTCCAATCTAAATTGCTCAAGCTTGTTGATGCTAGTTGGAAAATCATTGAGTATGGTATGTACCATGACTTCAATGTCTTCCTGCATTTTCAAGTCTGCTGCATCACTGTGCTTAAGAAAGGCCCTTGAAAGTGCATGAGCTATGAGCATCTTGCTTCCAGGTATGTATTTCAATTCTATGTTAAACTTTAATAGTCTTAACAACATTCGTTGTAATCTTGGAGAAGTTTGGTTCAGATACTTTAATAATATATTTTCAAGTGTTTTTTGGTCAGTATACACAAGTGTTTTTGGTCCATAAATGTACTGAGAAAACTTTTCACACGCAAATACAACTGCCAAGAGTTATTTTTCTATCTGAGCATATCTTTTTTCAGTTTCACTCAACGCTCAAGATGCATAAGCTATAGGTTGTTTATTTTGTAACAGTACTGACCCGATTCCTGTTGAAGAAGCATCTGTTTGGATGCAGGCTTGCTTCTCAGCATCAAAAAATTTTAAAGTAGGAGTTGTTGCAATAGATTTTTTTAGTTGCTCAAAAGCTTTGGTGTGTTGGTTGTTCCACATCCATTCACTATTTTGTTTCAGCAACTGTTGCAGAGGATCAGTGAGTGTAGAAAAATGTGGTATAAACTTAGACATGCATGTGACCATTCCTAGAAAACGCTGGAAACTCTTTTTATCATGTGGTGTCGGCAAGGCTAGGATAGCGTTGACTTTGTTGTCATCAGGAGCCACACCTTCCTCTGAGATTCTATGACCTAGGTATTTTACACTGGAAACTTTAATTTGTTGTTTCTTACTATTAAAGCTAATATTGAATTTTCTAGCCCTTTCAAGTACTTTTCTAAGTATCTGGTCATGTTCTGTTTCATCATTTGCTGCAATGATTAGGTCATCAAATACTATGAGAACACCATCAATGTCTCCAAAAATTTTAAAACTTCTTTTCTGAAACACTTCGGGAGCTGATGATATTCCAAATGGAAGTCTACGAAATAAAAAACTTCTAAAGGTGTATTAAAGGTTCAGAGGCGAGTACTTGGTAACCTCAATAATTTGCTCCTTTCCACCATCAAAATTTCGCAAAAGTTCATTTCATAAGTAATTATTATTTCAGCATGCCAGATTAATAAAGATTAATTTTCTATAATTCTCTATCAATCATCGTTTTTCATTAATTCAAATTTTAAAAAAGTTTAACTATTATATCGGAAAATAAAAAGAAGAATAAGATGAAAGCAGCATTGAAAACAAAAAATTTTGGACCATGTGAGAAAAGAAATGTGAGAAAAGAAATGTGCGTCAGAAAACACCATGCAAAAAACATTATTTCCATTCTCTTTTGTTTCCCATGATTCATCTTTATAGAAGAAATTTATTTGAGGACAATTTTTTCAACATCAAATGTTTGGGAAGCACTGCATATACACGGTCACCAGATATTCTAAACATTGGCTGTGCTCAATCTTATTTTGTTATTTTTTTTAACATAAATTTAGTTGATTCGCACCAAAATCTTTTGTTTATAAAAAAAATTTCCTGAAATGAAATTTTTCATTAACTATTTGATATAACATATAGACGTGTCTGTGTTATAGTTAATGATAAAGAAAATATATAGGCTTTTCCTCTAGGATTATTTCGAAATCAAAATCCATGGATACTTATAAACAAAATCACTACGTTGAATAAAGACTGTTGTTTTTCAGTGACCCACATAAATTTTAAAAATACGCAATTCCTCCACATCTTTGCTATGTATTTTTATATTTATAAATAACTAAATTTTGCATTATTTAAACGATAACGATATCAATCGTTAAATTCACAATTATTTACAATTCATTGAATTTGACAAACTTCATTGCACTTTTGGTATTTACATGTTAAATCGTTATCATAGCAACCGATAGCTACGAAATGAACTAGTGCTCGCTGATGATTTGTTTTCAACGCACGTTCAGTTAAGAAATTAAATAGATGTGTTTCTCGTGCATATATAATAGAATAAAACTTTTTATAATTTTTCATTGATCATCATTTTTCATTAATTTTATAATTTCATCGTTATTTATAATAAATAAATAAATAAATTAATTAAACTAAAATTTATAATATATCATTTATTTATTAATTTATTTATTAATTAATTTTATTTTTTATATTTATATTTATTTTTTTTTATAAAATTACCTTCACATTATATTATTTATTTTACATTTTATAATTATTTAATTAACTTTAATAGTCTTTTTTAATTTTAATTTAAAATTAAAACTAATCATTATTTTTATTTATTTTTTAATTATTATTATTTTATTCATTAATGTCTGGCGAACCAAAATAGAACTTGGAGCATCACAACACAATGAATGCAGTGCATCAAAATAACTACAGAGGTTTTTAATTTAATTGCTGTTGCATACAAACAAATTTAATATCAGCACTCAACTGTTATTTATTGTGTAGCAAATTGTAATTAATAATAATTAATTGTATTAAATTGCTTGAAAAATAAACAAATGTATTTAAATATTAAAGAATTAATTATTTTATTGTTTAAGGTGAAATAATGGCTCTAAGAACAAAACTAATAGAAGTTGAGAATTGTAAAATGGATGTGGAGAAGATATACAATGAGAAAGTGATTTGTTTTATCATAAATCAGCCAATTAATTATTCTCTATCAACCAAATACACATGTATTTATTTTTAAAAATTACAATTTAAGTATCTAGTGATTGAAAATATAAAGTCATACTTATTTATTTATTTACTTGTTTATTTATTTGTTTTAAAGTGATGATTATTTTTACTGTATGTAAATATATAAATAACAATGATTGTTATTATTAAATTTGATCCTATCTTTAATTTAAATTATAAATTATTTTATTTTTTAAATTTTGAAATTAACTTTTTTTTTTAATTTGTATTATATTTTAACAAATAACCCAAAGTTAGAAAAATTGAAATGTGAGCTGATTGATCTAACGAGTAGGTATGAAACAATACAGTCTGAACATCTTGCATTGAAGCTGGTGAATATAAAAAATCAACAGTTATTGGATTTTAAAAAAAGTCAATCTGATGAAAAAATGAAAATGCTTGAAGCTCTTAAAAGTATGATTGATTTTTTCAAAAACGTTAAACTTCAAGTTGTTATCATCATTAGGGCATTTCAAATGGTGCATCTTGACTAAGGTACTTTACCTTTATATCATCGCGCTGCCCATCTGTATAACATACCATTATACCGTTGTACTATCTGTTCCCAAAACAAGCTGGAAATGTATGAATTATGAATTAATCAAAATTGTTCGAGTGCGTAGAAAAATAGATTTGGATATTTGCCTGAATAGAAGTTGAGATGGTTAGAAATGACTACTTTCAAGTTGAAGAAAATGTTAGAATCAAAATGAAGAAAATGATTTGAAGTTTGCAATCATGATCGTAGCCAAATCCAGAGTTGACGTTTACCTCAAATATCAAGATTAGATTTTGTGTTCAATTGCTATCCTAGGTCATTTTTAATGACGAGAATCTTTGTGGTCTGGTCCTAGCATCAAGGCGCCGATTATAGGAGGAGATATTTTTGAAAACCTTTTCCTTACGTTTTATTTTATTTAATAAATATATCTAGTAGCACACAATTTAAGAATAAGTAACAAAATATACTCAGAAGTGTATTTTTGACTCATCTCAAAAAACCGCAACAAAGCAGTCATGTAGTTGAATGTCATGTAGTTGAATGTTTTTATAGAGGATGCACTGGACATGACTATCCAATGATGTTTTATTATGAACTCTTTTTAAACAGTTTTAACAAAAGTAAACAAGCATAAAAGGCATTTGTTCATAGACTTTAACAAATTGTGCTCCCCAACAAGTTTAGTTATTATTATTTTCTCTTATATATTCCTCAGAGGTTATGAATTAAATGCTTTAGTGAACCAGTGCGTCTTCAGTTTCTGTTTAAATTTTTTTACTGGAACAATTTGTTTCAGACTTTTCCAAATTTTTGGAACGATCTACCAACGAAAATTTGGAACGATCTACCACGACCTAATTTCCAATGATGTGTTCATGCAAATGATTGGAATGACTTGAACAGATTAAAAAAATGAATTAATTTTATTTATTTATTGATAAATCTGACCAGAGGGTCTAAACAAACCACTCTTCCCGCCAAGAAAAGAACGACTTCTACAAAACGCACGTCAAAAATGATGAAAAGAAATAAGCATATGAAACTGGTTAATGATTCTTCTTTTTTCTCGTGCCTTATCCTTTCAGGACATTGGAAACCATCGACCTCCAAAAAGCCCGATCTTCAACACTTTGTAAGAGTTGCAATAGATGGCAACTTGATAGTTATGTTTGCGCTGACGAAGGTTGTATGTTGTAGACTAATACAATAAAATAAATATTTAAATGAGTAAATGACACAAAACATCAATGAGATCAACAAAAACGAACGTAAATTTCAAAACGATTAATAAACATTAAAGGACAAAAATATAAGGCAAATAAAAAAAGGCAACACCACAATACATTAATAGTTATTTAATATTCAAAAATTTGTTTAAACCAATAGACAGTATGTGATTTTTGGAAATGAGTAGCCTAATAGTAAATTTTCCATCAAGTGCTAACTTTGATGCGGTACTGGAAAATGTAATCCTAGTTAATTCGCCTCAAGCAACCGTTTATTTATTAAACTTTAACAGTTTTGATGTGGATCATTCAGTTTAATTAATTTTTTCAGGTGAAATTTCAGCGTTGAAAGAAGAAAATGAAAAATTGATTGAAAATGACAGCAGAATGAAAGTAATGCACGAAAGTGATCAGCTCCAATTGAAAGATGAGGTTATACTAATTGACTGATGCTTGTAACAAACGCAGTTGTTGACCAAAGTATAAAAATAGTTTTTACAAATGATGTATGCTTGAAAAAATTGTTCATTGACATTGTTCGCAATAACACGCAGATTTAAAAACCTTTTCTGTCACTTATCAATTCTATTGAACACACAAAGATAATTTAACCACGAATTTTGTTGGTTAGTAAAAGTTCGGATATAACATTTGATTGATAGGTTAAAAGTTATAAAGGAAGGTGCAAAGAATATGAAGAGATGAAGATTTATTTGAATACCACTAAACAGCTTATGAACGAGAAGCAAGTGTACGTCTTTCTATCAATAAATTTATAGTTTTATAATATTAATTAAATATATATATATATATATATATATATATATATATATATATATATATATATGTTGTCATATATATATATATATACATATATATATACATACATATCTATATTTATAATCGATGGAAATTAGGTGTCAGGTACCAGCCAATAAAGAAACCTGACACCTAACTTCCATTTTGACAAAGTCAATCTCCATCTAAATTCATTTTGACAAAGTCAATATTTCTCTATATAAACAGCAGAAAGCACTGATGATGATTCATTCGGAATCGAAATATGGCCTTATTTGCAGCATGAATTCGAAAAATAAGTTTATTTTGAATTTTAATAAACTAAACGTTCACAAAAAAACTTTAGTGAGAAAAATCGAAAAAACGAACTACAAACATATTAACGCCAAACATGGGCAAACAATTTCAATGAAATTTGCATTTCTGAAAACCTCGTTCCTAAATATATATATATATATATATATATATATATATATATATATATATATATATATATATATATATATATATGCAATTATTGATGAAAATCACAGCATGTTCGGCGCTAGAATTGAACTTTTCGATTTTTCTAACGGTTGATCGTAAATCATTTTCAAGTTTCTTTAGTTCAAATCCAAAATTTTTGTTTATTTTATGCATGATAGAACAGAAAAGCTTTTTACGGCATTCCTATACCATCTTCGGTGTTCAAATTGATACGTGGTGGTTGTGCCTCTACTTTGTTGATTCCTTGTTTGTTCAAAGTGAATACTTAGTTTTATAATCTTCTTTACAATCGTTTTACAAAATATAACACTTTTACTTGTTTTTATTATCGATGATTCCTCTGTTTCTAAATTTATTGGTAGGAAGAATTCCAATTGCCCGTTATGAATTTTTATTATCGGATGTCTGTTCTATGAGGCTAGTCGTCAATTATAAATATAGATATGTATATATATATATCATATATTTTATATATATATATATATATATATATATATATATATATGCATATTACATTAAATTTGTATGCCCACTCTGCGTTCAAAAGTTTTTTGATAAGAACTTCAACGCAGCTGAATATTATTGTGAATTCTCAATAATATTCAGCTCCAATGATGGCTGACAAATTTCATGGATGTTTTGAATAAATACAAATTCAAAAAACTACGTGGTGTTGAAGTTCTGATCGAAAAATTTTTGAACGCAGAGTGGTCATACAAATTTAATGAAATATGCATCAACGAAGGCCTCGTCCCAAACTATATATATATATATATCGATGGTGTCACTATGGGTTCCCCACTTGGCGTCCTATTTGCCAGTTTTTACTTAGGACATCTGGAGAATGAGACCTTCAAAAACATTGCAAATTTAAAACGAAATATCTACGCTAGATACGGTGATGATAACGATCCTAAACAAATCATCCAACTTTTTGGTACCTTAAACAAATCAAAACTAAGATTTACCATTGAAATTGAAAAAGGAACAACGTTTACCTTTCCTTGATGTGTTGGTCACCCGTGGCGAAGAACGATTCAAGACTGCGGTCTATGTCAAAGAAACAAATACAGGAATTTGTTTGAATGGACAAAGTGAATGTACCGAACAATTTAAAGACAGCACAATAAAATCATTTGTAAACCGGGCATTCACACACTCTTCCGATATTGAAAATCGCGACGCCGAATTAAAGAGGGTCACTAACCTGCTTGTAAACAATGGATATAAGACTTACTCTATTGAAAAGATTGTTAAAAACAAATTACTACACAGCAATAACCTTCCTAGTACCAACAATCAAGATAACGACATCATCTTGTATTACAGAAATCACATGTCAACTGCATACAAAGTAGATGAAGCTATTCTTAAACATATCATCAATAAAAATGTCACACCAACCAACCCCAATAATAAAGTTAAACTCCGAATATATTACAACAATAAAAAGACGTCTCACCTAATACTGAAAAACAACTGTAGTCCTAGAGATAACTCTGTGCTAAGGCGTAATCACGTAATATATGAATTTAATTGCCCCTTTGACGGCTGTGCACGTCAACATGAATCATATATCGGGATTACTACTACCTCATTAACTAGAAGGCTTACGATGCATAAACAGAGTGGTGCTATCAAATCTCGTTTGGAATCAACACACTCAATCACTATTAGCCGTGAAATCCTCGACAGTAACACCAAAGTAATATACCAGAACAGCAACTACACGCATCTTAAAATTGCAGAAGCAGTCCTAATTGACATCAATAAACCAAAAATAAATATACAACAAAAAATGACAACCTCACTTTTAACCCGGCGCTTAACCAACAACGAAAAAAAAGAAGTAATAAAAACTAGCATTGTAAATAGCGACAAAGAAGAATATGATGCTATCGATGAAGAAAAAGAGACCAAAGAAGATGACCAGCCATTAAAGAAACCTGACACCTAATTTCCATCTAAGTTCACTTTGACAAAGTCAATCTCCACCTAAATTCATTTTGACAAAGTCAATATTTCCATATATAAACAGCAGAAAGCACTGATGATGATTCATTCGGAATCGAAATATGGCCTTATTTGCAGCAGGAATTCGGAAAATAAGTTTAGTTTGAATTTTAATAAACTAAACGTTCACCAAAAAACTTTAGTGAGAAAAATTGAAAAAACGAACTACAAACATATTATCGGCAAACATTCGGTAGAATTTATAGAATATTGTAAACGCAACATTTCAAAAATTCAACACTACTTTCAACATTGTTCAACTTTTTCATATTTCTTTTTAATTTATTAATTTCCGAGAAATTAGACATTTTATTGTTTTTTTTAAATTTTTATTAAATAAATTTGCAAATAGCTATTTCGAGTTATAAATAACTCATCTTCAGTGCATTATATATAAGGTATGTAAGATATTTGATAGAAAGGAACAAGTAATTATTAATTTAAATAAATTATTTAATTAAAACAGAAAACCAATAAAGTAAATTTAATAACTATAAACAATATAAAACGCGATTTTTAAAATTTTTTAAAATTTTTAACGGCAAGATTGTTTATATTATGGTTGTTAAGGTAAATATCAACGCTCAGTCGAGAAGCGCGAATTAATTTATTTAATTAACTACATATTATTAATATTATTTCGACAATATTTAAAAACATTATTATTATTATTATTGTTAACGTTATTATTATTATTATCATCGCTGTGGTTCTTCTTGCTTCTTGTGATGATGTTCCATTTGCAAGTGATATTTGCGCTGTGGGTTGTGGCATTGGTATCTACAATGTAGATACCAACGTTGATCGTAAATCATTTTTTCAAGTTTCTTTAGTTCAAAGCCAAAATTTTTGTTTATTTTATGCATGATAGAACAGAAAAGCTTTTTACGGCATTCCTATACCATCTTCGGTGTTCAAATTGATACGTTGTGGTTGTGCCTCTACTTTGTTGATTCCTTGTTTGTTCAAAGTGAATACTTAGTTTTATAATCTTCTTTACAATCGTTTTACAAAATATAACACTTTTACTTGTTTTTATTATCGATGATTCCTCTGTTTCTAAATTTATTGGTAGGAAGAATTCCAATTACCCGTTATGAATTTTTATTATCGGATGTCTGTTCTATGAGGCTAGTCGTCAATTATAAATATAGATATGTATTTATATATATATATATAATTTGGTATGAGGTTCTCAGATAAACATGTTCGGTTGAAGGTTAACTGCAAAATGGGGTGTAATCTTCAACCGAACATATATATATATGTATACATTATGTGTATATATATATATTTATACATTAATTTTTCAAGTTTTATAATTAAAATTTTATTATAGATATTTAATTTATTAAGTAAAAAACTAAAATTATTATTGTTCATGTTTATTAAAATAAATAATTGCAGAAAGCTTGTTCTATATAAAATATATCATCGTCAGTGCAAAATATTTTAAATAATAACGAAAATTACCGTTTATAAACAAATGACGTCATACCGTATAACTTAATTTTAAGCGCGAAACATTTTTGAAAATACTATTATTAATTATTATATACTATATATTTAACATATTGATAAAATCAACTTAAAATTATTTACATAGATCAATATTAGAATTAAACAAAATAAATTAAAATTTTAAAATTGCTGAAAAAACGACCATAAAGTAAATCAACAAATAAAAAACTAAAATCAGCCATATCATCATACTACAATATTCATGTTTCCAAGTTTATATTATTATCATTGTTATTGTTATTATCATTATTATTATTATTACTATTGTTGTTGTAGTAGTTGTTGTTGCTGTTGTTATTGTTGTTATTATCATTATTATTACTATTGTTGTTGTTATTGTTGCTTAAAAAACATATAGATACTTTTATTGTTTTTTTCGCAAACCTCGTTAACTTATGTTTGCTAGATGGAGTATTTTCGAACAAATGTAAGCACACAGTTATTACACCTGTCTTGAAGAAAACGAAAGATGATAGGAATGAAATGAAAAGTTACAGACCCATATCAAACATTTGCTTCGTTTACAAAGTTATTGAACGAGTTGTTGCCAGTCAGTTACTGAGTCATCTACACAAAAATAGCTTAATACCAGTATTTCAATCTGAATATAAACGTTATCACTCAGCTGAAACAGCACTGCTGTATGTTATGTCTGAGTTGTTTAATGCTATTGATAAACAATATGTTTCGTTGCTTACATTCTTGGACATGAGTACTGCCTTCGATTGGGTAGACCATCAAATCCTGACGAATCGCCTACAATATAATTACGGAGTTACTGGAGTTGTAGCTAATTGGTTCAATTCGTGCTTGTTTGGCAGAACTCAGCAGGTTTTTTTCAGGAACAAATTATCTGGTATTGAAGCAATGTCATCTGGTGTACCACAAGGCTCAGTCCTGGGACCTTTTCTGTTTGTACTGTACACTGCTGAAGTATATGAAGTAATAGAATCCTTTGGATTTTCATATCATGCGTACGCTGATGACATCCAAAAATTAGTTAGCAGTGAACCAGAACTGTTTAAAAGAAAGTTGAAAATCTCATTGAATGCTTGACTAAAATAAGTACATGGATGTCAAGAAACTGTCTCAAATTGAATCAAGAGAAAACTCAATTTTTACCTGTCGGTACATGGCAACAGCTTTCTAAAATTAATATTAATTCAGTCAAAATTGATAATAATGAAATACAATTCTGTAAAAATGCAACAAACCTAGGATGTATTTTTGACTCGAGATTATCTTTTAAGGATCATATAAAAACCATATCTAAATCAGTTATACCGCGCTCGAATATTTTTACATCAAACAACTATGCAGACACTAATTCATGCGTTTGTTCATTCTCGGTTAGACTACTGTAACAGCTTGTTCCATGAATTATCAGAGAAATCTATTGCTTTTCTTCAATCGATAAAGAATAGAGCTGCAAAAATAACTGTTGGACGTAGAAAGTATGACCATGTGACACCCATTTTAAGAGACCTACATTGGCTAACAGTGAAAAAAAGAATCAACTGTAAGATTTATGTGACTATGTATAAGGCTATGAACGGGTTGTTACCAGTACATGTAATAAATAAAATTAAAAAAACCCAGCTTCTTCAACGGTTGTAAAATTGAGATCAGATTATGCCAACTTACTGGCAGTGACAACTACAAACTGCAACTAGAAATATTGCCGTGTTAGAACCAATTGCCTGGAACAGTCTTCAGCAATCGCTCAGAATGCCTGGACTAAAGCTTGATGATTTTATGAGGAACTTAAAAACATATTCATTTTTGACAGATTTTATCGATTTGTACTTTATTGACCTTCACTGATTTCATTTATAATAGATAGCGCTTTCGAGAAATTTTAATTTTATAATGCGCTTAATAAAATGTTGATAATATATATATATATATATTATATAAAGGTTAAAGGTTTCTCTCTCTCTCTTTTGCGTTTGCTTCAGAGGTTTCAACGACAAACACAGCATATATGAATACGCGTGCAAACCACGCATCATACACATTGCATATAATAGGCGGGGTTTTCTTTGTATTCGAACCCAGTCATTACAATAGCAAGACCAGGCGCCTTTAACTACTGAGCCATCACGCCGCTCTGTGTGATCTAATACCTGTGATCTTTTAATTTATATCTAAACTAGGTTTGCTGAAATTTATTCTCAGTTAATTTGCTAAGGTCTATTAAATCATGTTTGATCATTTTAACGCTGTCATGTTCTGTTTCGAACATTTTTTAAATCAGAGATAGTGAACAATCATTTTAATTTAAACAGAAACAACCTCATTCTAGAAAATGAAGTGGCAAAATTAACAAGTGATTTCAAATTTCTTCATATAAAAATATTTTCCATATTATCTGATTATTATGATAAAACTAGTGAGCAGTTGATTTTACACTTTAAAAATTAAAAACGTTTAGAAAAATTAAATAATTCAGAAAATTATTGAAAGCAAAATCATGCAATAACTGCCGTAGAGCTGATTGATGAGCAAAAAGAGCACTTGGACAGTTCGAGATCTGAGGTTGATCAGTTGAGAAAGAATCATAACGAAATGATCGCACAACATCAACATGAGGTCAAACAACTTCAAAAGAAAATTTTTGGTTTAGAAGAAAAAGAAATTAAAATGAAAGAAGAAATAAGGAAAATTAAAGAAATTGAAAACAATTATTCTAGAACCATCGTGAGATTGTTGTTCAATAGTTGGTGTTTTGCAGTGTTCATTTGTCTCTTGAATGTTGCATCGAGTCGAACCATTTTTTTTGTTATCTAAAAATTCATTCGGTCAAATTATGGTTTCCTTTTTTTATTCTTTTGAATTCACTATTCATATAACGCTTACAAAAACGAGTCCTTTGTGATTTATCATGCATTTCTAATAAACGCAAAGCTGCTTACAATTATTCTGTTGCAATTAAACCTTTGCGCCGCATACTTTGCACATGAGCAACATATTTTTGAATGTAGGCATAATATAATCTTAAAGGGTTTTGCACATGACGTGTTAATTTATTTCATTTTGTATATTTGATTAATATTGCTCCCTTGCTTATGCGTGCAAACATCACATTTAAAACTTCACATTATCTTTAACCTCTAGCCAGCAACTTCATCCAGTATTTATAACCTTAGCATGACCTTGGTTTTTCTTCCCGCACATCTTGCATGCCGCGACTCCTTGATTTAAATTTTAAGCAAATTTTTATAATTCAGAGCGAATTGAACAAGGAGAAAATGAAAACCGAAGATTCATTGATGACTTTAAAATTGTTGGAAAGTCAAAACAAGTGAATATGATTGTTTAACGTTATCTTCCTTATCGCTTTATATCTCTGTAGGCGAAAAAAAAATTTGTTTTGTGGTAGTGAAAATTTGTCGATTTCAAACTTGAATGTCGCTATTAACTCTGCTGTTGGCAGGCTTCATTCTTGTTACATCACTTTGTTTCACATCATCAGGCTGTTTTTGTCTGATCATCAATGGTATCAATCAACGTTCATTCTTTGTTTATTAGCTTTGAGCTGTTCACATTGTTATGTTAGGAAGAAGGTAACAGAGCAAACCATCTTATTTATCGTTCTGATCAATCGATTTGTCGAGCCAATCAATTTCAACAATTTGCATGGTTTTTGAACAATGCTATGTATAAATGCCTTTCGTACGATGATTGTGATGGTTGATAAATTTTGCTGCAAAAAATTATAACAATTTATTTTTATTTTTACGCCGCAGGAACGTTGAAATAACTTTGAAAAATGAAATTGATAAATTGAAAATATCTCTAATTAAAATGGAAACGTTAGTATTAACACATAATTTTTTACCAGTTTTTACCATCGGTAGTCAAAACATTTATCACAATTTTGAAAATGTTTAGTTTTAATCAATTTTAATAGATGTTTTCTAGCTTAACGAAATTTTTGCTATAATAGTAAAAATGAAGAAATAACGATTGCGTATGAAAAAATGAAGTCACATTTGAAATGTAAAACAAATAGATTAGAAGCTTGCAAAAATATATTTTTTGAAGTGAGTTTTTTTAATTGTCGTTTCATAATAAACATTTTGAAATAGACAGTTTTAACTTAATAATGTTTTTAGCATAAGCATAAAATAACGTTAATTTATTTATGAACTCGTAACAAAATTGATACCAGAACGAGAAACAGGCGCTTGAAACCATCAAAGACTTTAATGAAAAACTGCACCACATGCTACGAGAAAGCATTCAGGAGGATATCTCAACGGACGATGACAATATTAACAACCAGCATGATAATTTATTAAAAGGAGAACCAACTCTGCAAACATCCTTGCTGGTCATACAAAAATTTTTGGTTGGAATGAAGAAGAAAGATGTCGAAAATTATTTACAGGTTGAATTTAATATTCTCAATATTTAATTTATATTTGTACGATAAATAAAGACGTTTAACTGATGAGACACAACAAACAAATAATATCTTCACTGAATAATTTTTTCATTTAAATGTTATTTCTCTAGACATAGACAACATTATCTGATGGGTTGTTTCTATGGAATGTTTAAAATACTAGCACAATTTTATGTTAGTTAGCATCAGCTAAAAATATTTTAATTGCATCACTGCATAAACCTTTGTACCACAACTAACTCTAACCACGGCTTTAATCCATCGAAATTTTAATCAATTGATTGAAGTTTTGCATGAAAATCGTTCAGAAGGATGTCACATCAGAATGTCAGGAAAGTTTGAAATACGTTTGAACTTGCTAAGAGAAAATGGTTGAAATTTGTGAAAGAGGGTGGCATATCAATAGTGTTCTATAAAATTAACTAGTGTACCTTTTGGTGTTTCATTACTTGATAGATTATATTTTAGAATTTATTAATGAATAACTTTTGCAAAAACACCACTTTAGCAGAAATCCCTAATGGAACAAGTGAGTCAACAAAGGACCAGAATTTTATCAATGGAAAGTCAATTGAATGAAACTATTCTGAGCAGTGAAATTATTGCAAAAGTAACTGTTTCAGCGACAAAATATGTCTAACAAATTTCAAATAATTCATATTTAATTTATGTTAGAATTTGAGAACAGAACTTGAAGAAGTTACTACAAATTTGACTAAAGAAAAGAAAATGGCGTCATCGTTAGCATCACAATTGTCTGAGTGGAGGGAGAAAGTGCAGATATTGGAAAAAGAAGTGAGTCGATAATATCACTTTTATTAAAATGAAAAAATGTTATTTCCAGTGGCGCAGGTAACAAAAAATTAATTAAACGTTTAAAATTTGTAAATTTTGCATTTGTGGGTGCATGTAAGTAGAGCATTTGAAATTAAAAAATGTATGGCCTCCGTGTTTTTCCGAGAACGCATTCGAAATAAAAGGAATAGCTTTTACCAATTGAATACATTAAATATAGGAAAGACATCCGCCCAGATCTGTTTTTGTCTTGACAACAGTACATTTATCATCCATCATATCTCAACTCGAAATTAAAGAGATTAATAGATATAAATCCTCAATGAACAATCAATACAACAGTTTTGATTGCATGATAAAATTATTTTCACAATATCGTGACGCCACATTTGCAGCCGCTTGTGATCAAGTTCCACCGAACCGCCTTGCATAGCAGCGATACGCATACGAATATAATAATTATAATGTCATTTATATAGTGTTATGGAAAGCGACTGAGGCGCACTATTACAACAAACGCACAGGGTATGTATACACGTGAATCAACGCATAAGACAGTTGCATGTGCATGTGAAAGGCGGCGATTTCTTTACATTCAAACCCGGACACCGCATCAACAATGCCAGACACCTTAACCATTACACCACCACGCCGCCCGAGTATCAATCAATGTCAATTCCCTTTCAACCGTTCAACCATGGATGTCTCGCTATATCTAATAGATGGACAACTAATTATAAGGCTTTCAGATAGTTGACGAACATTTTAATGCATGGCATATTGTATTTTTATTAACACACTGCAAATGCGCTATAAAGTTTTATTCTTTTCATCAAAAAATAATGCAACAGGGTTAACAGATGATATCTTATTTTTAATAAGTTTTAATAAATTATTTCATTATCAATTGAACATCTTAAAAATTGTTTATTAAATTCTAATATTAAAATTTGCTCAATTTTCGTTTTCAGTTTAGTTCATTTTTAACATTAGCCTTTTCAGTGATTTTTTTAATCAATTATTTTGACATGCAGTTAAAAATTGTCCACAAATCATTTCTTCTACGTCATGATTGAATGTGCAATACATATTTTCAATCATAGTATCACCACCCGGAGTATATCTGTCCATGTTTGTCAAAAACAATTTCATTTGATTAATTGGTTACAAAAACATCTTTAGTATCTTATCTAAATTTTTATAGCTCCAAATATTTGCTAGCAACGTCGGCACGTTGAGAAAGCATACTCGGTATTCTGAGACCTCCTCCGTTGACACCGTCAAAATATTGAACAATGTTTGCGTTCTCCTCATCAGAATGAAATGATTCGTCATCGAGCAGTATTTCTTTAGAACAAGCACTTATAGTGATGGCACTTATAGTGATATTAATTACACTTTCTACTGACGCTCCGGCAATATAGTAAATTGAGCTTGCGTCATTTTTGTTGGGCAAATTGACATCCATCATTTCTCCATTAATTTTATCGGTTGAAACGCTTAATGGCTGATCAATTTATGAAAAATATTATCGATGAAATAATCCATTTCTTGATTAACCGCTGCATTGTCGATCAAAACCCTCACAACGTCCACATTCAATTTAACATCATTAATGATTGTTGACATCATAAAACATTCTGCTTGTTGTTAACTTGTTGAATATGTTTGATTAAAACTGTAATTTACCCAGCCCAACAGCTGCTGATTTGCATGTAGATCTTGGTTGTTGTTTTTGTGTTGACAGATTTGATGGAAGGTTTTCGAATTTTGAAGGCACTGCATCAACCTTCTGCGTTTTTTTATTCTTGCGGTAAGTTCGTATTTTACGTTTTTTTCGTTCAAACTGCCGGATTCATCTAAACTAAACGCGAAAGACATATTTTTGAAAATTTGCTTGGTGTAGAATTTTTCACCGCTTCGCTCCTTTTCGTATACATTTTTGACATCAATCAGGATTTTTTAATGGGTAGGCATAAAATGAAACATCATTATTTTCAGTCTTTATTTTGATTCATAACTATTATCCATACACAGAATATTTATATACCATGTTTTAGTTCAGATATACAATAAAAATTTAATTAGTACATTAACAATTGTCTCAACAAACAAACTATTTAATTCGACAATAACCGATGTTCTCGCAACACAAAATAAACGTAAATGAACAACGTGCTTACAATCGCATGGAATAACATTGCATGTAGTTACCTAATGCTTTGCTTTGTTTGTTAGCCAACTAGCTGAAAAGTGTGCCGTGTGATTTTGTTTAGTGAGCCATCCATGTCTTTTCGAGACTTCCATGCTTCAACTCACAATCTGTGACTCAGCATCGTAAAAATAAACACGAATTGCAACAGCTATGTCGTGCTGAATCTGTTCCGAAAAAGTTACTTGACGATACGTTCACTGGGCAAAAATATTCAACGAAGTCCCTCTCCCCATACATACATATATATATATATAAACACACACACATATATATCGTTATATAATATATATAAACACACATATATATAAATATATATCAACTGCTGTCTGCCAGCCCAGAGCGGCAAAAGCTAGTCACAAAGTTCCTTCATCTTTTGTCATTTATGTATGTATGTATGAATAATATATAATTCTTGAGTGTGTACAGTCATACATAGTCGATCAATTATTTGCTTTTTGAATAGATATGCTACTTAAAGAATGAAGATAAATGCAAGGGTACAATGGTTGAAGACATGAAGATAAAGCTGGACGCACAGATAAAAGTTCATAAGGGTGTCATCTGCGAATTAAAAAAGAGAATGGTGCAGAAAGATGAAGAGAAAGAGAAAAAAGAAGAAAATCAGGTCAGGGCTGGTGGAATGAATTTGTTAAGTTTCAAAATGAAACGTTTGTGAAATTTTTTAAACAGTAAAGTTGTCGATTACGATACAATTAGTCGCCTCGTGATATTTAGGAGCTGTGGCTGTTTATGCCGTTTTCATTCAATTTTATTTCCAAAACTAAAATTGTTAAGATTAATTCAATGTTTTGTTTAAACGCAATTCGATAACTATGAAGACATTTTTTATCATGTTTTTTGACATCGGTTATTTTTGGTCCTTTCTTGATTGTCCAAACCCAAACTTAATTTTATTCATTTTTCAAATTTTGCATTTTAGTTTTCTCAAACTTGACTTGTTAAAATAAAACTGTAAGAATTGATAAATGATTGCAGATGCATCTTGAAGATCTGCAAATATTATTAAAAGAATCACACAAGAGAGAAGAAGAGAACAACAAAGTTATCAATGAGAAGCACGAACTGTTGAAGAACGCCAGTCAGCAACTGCAGATAACCCGACTTTTACTCTCTTCTACAAAACAAAAATTAAAAAGAACAGAACATATGTTGGAAATGTCAGATAAAGTTTTACTAACATCGGTGAAAAATCTGGAAATCTGCATGCTAAAATTAAATTCGACAAAGCAGCACGTTGAAACGTTAAAAAATGAATTGCAGAAATCAAATCAGAATTATTTGGAGGTTAAAAATGAGCTTCAGTCGTCAATACAGCAAATCAACATGCTGAAAAGTGAACTGTTGAATGCTAATAATCGTCTTACTTCATTTTTCAGCAAATTAGTAGAAAATGAACATACTTTGTCAGACTTAGCAAAGGTAGGTAACATTTATTTATGCTCAGGAGCAGTGATGGATCTACCGTTGTGAGCAGATTCGTTAACTCAGTTTTTAGAACTAAAAACACAGGCTCAAGTACACAATGCACCAAAAATTGGCGTGATAAGCAAAAAATGTTGCCAGCCTAATTTTGGCCACATTAGTAAATTTCTTTGCCCCCGTCAACGTTGTGTAGATCCGCCACTGTTAAGGAGGCAAATGTTTCGCACGCGTGATTTGTCAAGTGTTGAATAAATGTTATATAAATTATTGATTGTTTGATTTCAGGTTAACATATGTTAAATATTATTATACGAATAAGTTAAGAAAACGAAACACAAACAGCCAATCCAGATAACAAATAATGAAATAAATAAGTTGATATCAATGATCATAACCAACCAACACTGTCGTCGACATGATTCGTCAGACCAGGACATCAAAAAATGTTTTAAACGTTTACAACAATGATAACGAATTTTTTCCACTCAATCCTTCGCCAAAGCATAACATAACCACCCACCCATGATACAATTTACATTTCAAAATAAATTTTAGACCACATAAATTTATAAAAATGAAAAGGAGCCATAAAAACTCTTGCAAGAGACCATGACAAAACAATATAATACCTTTGTTATTGAAATCAATTAGCCGTGAATTGTTTGGATCATAAATAAATTGTGTAAACATGATGAATATAAATGTATAAATGAAAAAATTCAACATTCATAACTTCAATCTAGTTGTTATTTATCGCTAAAACTTATCGCATCGACATTAGTTCAATTATTTTAAAAGGCGTGATGGCCTAGTGGTTAAGATCGCCCGGTGCTGTTTCGCAGGCCGCGCATTGACTGGATTCGAATATACATATATATGACAACAAATAAATTTCCCGCCTGTCGTATGTTTCTTGTGTTATGCGTCGACTAGCACAGTGCTTTTCAAAATGGTGGTCCGCGGACCGGTGCCGGTACACGTGCCGGTTGTTTTCTTTGCCATCAATTTTTTGCGCCAAATTAGAAGATCAGTTGTATCCATTTCATTTAAATTTAGAGCTTTCATGTCTTGCTCGATTGTTTGCGACCAGGATTTTGGACGGCCTTTGGGACGTGTGCCAGGTATTTCAACATCTGCAAGAGAAGTAATGGCACTGTTTCCACTTCGTTTGTCGTTTGTCATGACCAAACCACCTCAGTCAGATGGTGTTGCCGGCACTCGTCCTTTATATCATCTAAACCAGCACGACGCAGGATTTCAGCTGTTCCATTACAATCCAGAACATCCCTAGATAATAAAATGATGTGACTTTCTCTATTTTAATGGCTTCAAAAACAGTGCTAATTCGAATTTTTTGTTGTGGATTGATGCAAGCAGGACAAACAAAATTGGACACTTTAGATAAAGAACCAATTATTTTTGAACAACGTTTGTGACACCACTGGTTACACTGCTGACACTTGATTGAATTGTTACCTACACCAGCTTTACAAACTGAACAGTGTCATTGTCCAGTAGCTGTGGATTGGATGGGTTTACCAGTGTTCATTGCTTTGGTTTTGCTGATGTTGACTTTGAATCCATGATCAGCGAGTCTGGTGTTCCAATCTTCAAGCATCTGTGCTGCATTCTGCTCAGACGTGGCTGTTAAAACGATATCATCAGCATATATTAGATTCCAAATGTCACCAGTTCGTATCGGTTTTGTGATTTCTTTCATCGCAGTTATAAATAACAGTGGACTGAGAATCGAGCTTTGGTGAACTCCAATGCCGATGTCAAATGCATCTGTGTTTCCAACCGATGTGCTGACGAGAGTCTTAGTATTCGTATACATTTCTATCACAAGTCGAACAAGATATTCTGGAACGAGTTGTCTAGGTAGACTCTACCTGATTGCTCTACGGGGAACTCGATCAAATGCTTTTTCAAGGTCTACAAAAATGTGTGATAGTTGTTGATGCTTTCTAATTTCTATTGTGATGCACGACGTTAATCTTTTCTCAATGATTTTCTCGACAATTTTCTGGGAGTGTTCTAACAGACGTATACCCCGATATGATGAACAGTTCAATGGATCACCTTTGCCTTTGTATATCGGAACTGTCATGCTATAGTTCCATTCAGTCGGCATTGAGCAATTTCTCCAGATTTCACGGCAAAATTGTAGTAACGTTTGGATACCTGCAGTACCAGATGCTTTGATAATGTCATTTGAGAGTCCAGAGGGCCCTGCTGCTTTTTCATCCTTCATAGCTTTCAGAGCTTCTCTAAGCTCCTCTACAGTGATGTCTAGAATCGGACCTTCGATGAGTGGAGCGTCAAAGTTGACTTTGATGGGATTTGTTTCATTTAACAGACGGTTGAAATATTTTTTCCACTGTAGCTTGATCTCACCTTGTTCAAGAACCATCTCATTTTTGTCGTTTTTGATATATGAGGCACCAACTCTGTCTTTTTTCGTACTCTGCTTGTTTTGCTATACGATACAGCGATTTCATTTGTTCACTTTTGCTTTTAGTGAGCCACTCTCTGCACTGATCTCTCCGAGCCAGTGCGACTTGACGTCTTGCATAGTTGTTCTTCTCACAGAAAATTTTGTGGTCATCAACAGACTTTGATTTTTGCCATTACTTGTATGCAGCTTTCTTATCAGCTATTGCATTTTGTACACTGTCATTCCACAACCAAGTGTCCCGTTCATCAGCTGTTTAAAAGTATCATTATATCATGCACACTATATACATATATAAATAATATATATATATATATTATATATATATATCAATTAATTTGCATAAACATGTGCGTATGATCAACTGTTCAAAAACACGTGGTTATAGTAACAAAGAGCAACGCGGAACTTTAAAATTACGTAATATTATTCTTAATCGCATGTATCAGTGATTTTGAAATTGATTGAAACGGAATAAATTATTGCGCAAGTTATTGAAGTTTATTAGAGTTAATAAAAAGGGTTTAGAATTAAAATAAGGTTTGTTTCAGTTTTTTGATAATTTCATCATAATTGATAATTTCATTTTTATAAACCTTTAAGAACTGTTTATTTGCTTGAAATTTTTGGAAAATAAACATACGTTTTTATTAGATTTCAAGAATAACTATTTTAAATATGGCAAAACAAGGCCCAATAGACAAATTCATGAAAAGAAAATTTCAAGATGAGGATTTAAAGTCTGAAAGTAGTGGCAATTCTTCGGAGTCAAATAATGAGAATAGTGTTGTAAACGCAACTAAGGCAAAACGAGTGAAAACTAGTTTTACTTAAAAATACGATAAATCGTACATAAAAAATGGTTTTGTATCTATGGAGGATGGAACCGAGTTAAAACCTCAGTGCGTTATTTGCGGCGAAATATTATCAAACGAAGCAATGAAGCTATCAAAATTAAAAAGACATTTGAACACAAAACACAAAAACGTGAGCTCAAAACCACAAGAATATTTTGTACAAAAACGAACAAATGTTTCAGGTTTCGCATGTCAACAAAGTAGCTCTGCGAATTGCTAAAGCCAAGAAACCTTTCACGATTGGAGAGGCATTAATTAAAGATTGTTTGTTTTGAGATGTTTGGTGAACAGGCCGCCAAAAAAATTGACCAAATACCACTGTCTGATAATACTATCGGTCGTCGCATTAGTGATATGGCAGAAGACCTAGAGCTACAGCTCATAGAACATATAAAAGTGTCGAAGTATTTTTCTTTGCAGCTCGATGAAAGCACATATGTAGCAAATAAGGCTATATTGTTAGTTTATGTTAGATTTGAATTTGAAGTGAATTTAAAGGAGCAATTTTTCTTTTCAACATCACTGCCAACGAATACAAGAAGTGCTGAGGTATTCAAAGCTGTCAGTGAGTACGTCATAAATAAAGGATTGGACTTTAAATTGTGTTGGCGTTTGTTTGGATGGTTTGTTGATACAAGCTCTGAACTTCGTAATCGACTGAAAACAAGTTTGAATCAATGATGTTATAGGGTTTAAGTCTCAGAGTAAAAGGATAATAATAAGCGAGAACATAATTATCGAGAAAGTTTAAAAGAGATTACAAGAAAGTGTGAGAAGGCTACGAGATTGTCAAGTTGCTTTAAGATTTTGTTCAAAGATATGAAACGCACTTAGTGAATAAGCAAAAAATAATTTTGAAAATAAAATGATTAACCTAATCAGTGCAAAATAGTGAAATAAATGAAATGAAACAGCTACGCTGAAAAGCATGACACGAGGCATGAGCAACTAAATGAGTATCATACCGGAAACTTATGCTTGAAGACATTCGATTTCGCTTCAGTTCTTCATCTTTCAAAAAATTTCATTATAAAAACACAAATCATAAATCATAATAATTAACAAAATTGTAATCTTTTTTGACTTTTTTAATATTTAAGCAAATGCAAATGGAAAATAAAATGTCTTAATACACATTCAAACAAAACAACATCTACACAAACATTGAACGTTCCCACATTTATAGCACGTCAGGCAGTTGGCTCGGCTGTCATTATCCAAACGCCAACTTCAGCACGATGGCCACCATGTTCAAACCAATCAACGGAACTGTGGGTACAAAAATATTCGAAAAATTTATATGCAAGAAAACGAAAAAATAATAATATTTAATTTTATCTACAGTTTGTAGCTGAGAAAATTATTCGCGATGGAACTGCCTACCACGTTATTTAACCCTTAAAAACTTCGAAAAGTTTCCTTTTCATTAAAATGAATGCATACAAGCTTGATACATATTAAAGTATTTTTTTGTATTTGTATTTGATGACTTGTATAGCGCCCCTCCAGAATGACATCAGAAGAGCTAGCATCGCTGTGGATTGTTGAATAGATGTGCTTTTCGTCATTCAAAGCGCTATAATAATTGTCATACAACTGTTAAACAAATGAAATAACACAAATGTACAAAACAACTTCTCATGACGGTCCTTATGGATCGAATGAGATTCAGCAGTTGATGCTTCGGGCCGTGTGAATCTTCGAAACCTTGCTGACTTGAACTCCATCCTACTGTTGTTGTTGAATGAAGAGGTGATGTTTCCAATTAAATCACTAGTTAATATCATCAGTAACAGTAATTATACTGCCATGTCTCTGAACGATGATTAACATAAGTGTATGTACACAAACACATATATACGTGTGTGTGTGCGTAAATAAATAAATAAATATATAAATATATTACATACACACACAATCAATCAATCTTCGTTTTGCGTCCAGAGACCCAGTTTCCCCGAGGTAGGACGTTGTTTTCTTTGCCATCAATTTTTTGCGCCAAATTAGACGATCAGTTGTATCCATTTCATTTAAATTTAGAGCTTTCATGTCTTGCTCGATTGTTTGCGACCAGGACTTCTTTGGACAGCCTTTGAGACGTGTGCCAGGTACTTCAACATCTGCAAGAGAAGTTATGGCACGGTCTCCACTTCGTTTGACATGACCAAACCACCGCAGACGGTGTTGCCGGCATTTGTCCCTTATAGCATCTAAACCAACACGACGCAGAATTTCGGTAGATTTGACTCGATCAAATGCTTTTTCAAGGTCTAGAAAAATGTGTGATAGTTGTTGATGCTTTGTGAAATACTTCTCTTGCAGTTGCTGAAGAACGGTGAAAACAACGTCCTACCTCGGGGAACCGGGTTTCTGGACGCAAAACGAAAATTGATTGATTGATCGTAGGCCAGATGTACGTTTCGTCTCTCATGAGACTCGTAGCCTGCCGAATAAGGTTTAAGAAAACACAACTCAATTATTGTAATCAAGAAACGTAAATTGAGGTGTCACGGCCAAGGTTACAAGGTTTATATATATATATATATATATATATATATATATATATATATATATATATATATATATATGCATGCTTTTATTTGAATTTAGTTTTTTTAAATTATATATATATATATATATATATAAAGTATGAGCATGAGTATGCACAGCATTTTATTTTAAAGTAACTTTTTTTATAGACTATTTAATGCAAATACTTCTTTTACTAATATTAAATTACATTACATAAATATTATAAAAATTGCACCCAATGAAAATTTATTAAATAATTTGCTTTTATTTGAATTTAGTTTTTTAAAATTATCTTAAAATTGGGGCAGCAAATTACAAGTGCCTCTAGGGGTAAAACAGCTAATCCGCCACTAACAATCAGCTTGTCGAGTCATCTTAGGAAACCTTACTTGAGAATTCTAATGATGAAAGCACGAAGCAAAATTTGATCTAAAATTTCAAATGTCGAATGTGGTTTTGTCGAGGATTGTTGCACAAAGCTTATATATCTTACCTTACAAATATGCTAATTAATTATCTTTTACAATCCACAAAGATTCATATAGCGTGAGGACCTATTTTATTTATTCTATACATAATATATTTAATTGTATGTGTATTGTGTATACTATTACTTTTGGCAGAAATATATTTTTCTGTCTACTATGGGATTAATATTTGTGAGATGAATATTGACTGAGAGTATAAATAAAGTAGTAGTAGTAGTAGTGTAGTAGTAGTAGTAGTAGTAACAGTAATACTGTTCTAGAAGTTATCCAGAGAGCATGCCGTCAGGCATGCTAGCACAGCTGATTCGTTGATTGATTGTTGTTCATCCAACAATCAATGCCTGCTTTAAATTTGTTCGGGCAGGCTAGCACAGCTGATTCGTTGATTGATTGTCATTCATCCAACAATCAATGCCTGTTTTAAATTTGTTCATTAATTGTGCCTCTACAAGTTCATTTGGTAATGAGTTCCAAGTATTTTCGACTCTATTGAATAAGTAATTCTCCCTGTCTTTATATCTTGTTAACTCTTTAAAATATTTCAAACTGTGACCTCGTGCTTTGGTTTTGACTAAGCTAAAACGATTATTTAAATCAACTTTATCCAAACAATGCATGATTTTAAACAATTGAATCAAATATTCTCTTTTTCTTCTTTCCACCAAAATTGTTAATCCTAATTTTTTAAGTCAATCTTCGTAAGCTAGGTGTCATATAAATGGAATCAACTTTGTCGCTCTGTGCTAGACTCTTTCAATTACCTCGCTATCACCCTTTAGATCTGGAGACCAAACTGATACTGCAAACTCCAACAGTGGATGAATAAAATAAGGTATAAATTTATAACTTATAATCTTATAATAATAAATATTATAAGCAACTTATAATCAAATTTCCCAAAAAAAATTTTATTTGACCAAGCATTTGGTTTGCTTTGTTTTATGCTGTTGATGATTTGATTTTTCCATTTTAACTTATTTGAAAAAATCAATTTATGTACAGTGGACATTTTTTATTTTCTGATCCGTAGTGCATAACAGTACATTATCATTGCCTCATTCAAATCAAGTGAAAAGGAAACATAGATTAATAAGAAAAATATGAGTGCAATTTTTTATTTTTTGCATAATTTTTGTGCATTAAAATATATTAACCCTTACCATAAAGGCTAAAACCCCTACATGTTATGAATAAAAGTATATTTTCATGTCTATCTATATCAAAAAAAGTTTATAAAAGAATAGATACTTTTATACCTACAAATGTTAAAAAAGTTCATAAATGAAAATGAATTTTCATATCTACCAATGTCAAAGATGCAATGGGCGGCATGATGGCTCAATGGTTAAAGGCACCTGATCTCGCTGACTCAATGACTAGATTGGAATACAAAGAGATTATATGCAATGTATATGATGAATGGCTTTCATGCGTATTCATATACGCTGTGTGGGTAAAACAGGAGATAGGTACTCCTATGGTGTCGTCCATGTTTACAAACAATCATAATGTACTTTTAATAAATCAACTCCGCCAATTTTGAATTATCTAGCGCTTAATTATTTATTTATACCAAATTGAAAATGATTTAATTAGGTAAGTTTTTTAGATCATTACTTGTCAAATAGTTATAGTGAACATTAAATAAAAAAAAGTTAAAATATTAGTAAATTTCTGTTTTGATAACAATCAATGGCTTATGGCTTATGGAGTGGTTAACATGGTTAGGGTTAGGGCCTCCATTTTTAACAAAATTTTCAATCATTTCACAAATGAAATTTCTCAAAACAACACACGTTTAGACGACATTTTCCTCGAGATCGGGGTTGCCGTTTGGCTACCTATGATGAAACCGAAATACCCCTCGACGCCATTCCATCATAAGTAATTTATTTGGCTAATTTTTACGCAGGACACCCTTCCTTACGCAACCACAGTTATAAGCGGTGGGCCTAGCCTTTGATGATCTAACATCACTCACAAGGCAGTGAGGGTCAGTTTAATGTCATAACCAGGACATATTAATTATTGTATTAAATTACTTACCTAAGAATTAACTTGTAATAAATTATTTTCAATTTGATATAAATAAATAATCAAGCGCTAGACAATTCAAAATGGGCAGAGTCAATTTATTAAAAGTACATTATGATTGTTTGTAAACATGGACAATACCATAGGAGTATCTATCTCCCGTTTTACCTGCTGTGTGTTTGTTGTTAATACTTCTGAAGCAAAATGCATAAGAGAGTATGACTTTTAAGTTTTAACCTTTTAAAAATGATTAAAGTTTAAACTATACTTTCATGCCTACCGAGCATTATGAGATACAATCAGTTTCAGAAAGAAAATATCAATCTGTCTTTTTAAAAACATTTCTATTGTAAATGTAAATTGTGTATTTTATTTTAATTAATTCTTTTATTTCATTTTATTTAATTTATAAATTTGCAAAATTAAACTTATTATATTATTATAATTGTCTCTAAGATTAAAAAAAGACTTAGTGTATTAAATATACCAAGTTTACATTTTAATATAATATAATATATAATTATATTATAATAAAAAAAAATTATATAATATATTTTTACATATTTATTTATTTTATTGTCATGAGGTTAGAACTCGATTATTATTAATATTCAAGTTTAAGTTCACTTTTAGATTTATCTCACAAATTTACCCTACTTTCACTATAAAATTTAATCAAAAGTTAAACAAACTAATGAAAAAAAATATTAACTTTTTGCCAAAAATCTTTCTTCATGCAGTATGCAAACGGCATTCAAGCAGAGCAAGACAGCATCAAGCAGTGAATAAAAAGACAAACCCATCCCAGTTCTTTATTTTTAAATAACAAATTTATTTATTACATTAAATTTAAAACTCTCTTTCCTTACTTTTTAAATGCAGAAATATGTTCCGACGCCCCGGCGTGTTAATGTCACGAAGGTAATGTTCGCGACGGTTTTAACTCAGCGACCATTAAGCATATGTAAAAGGCGGATTATGAAAAAACCGATTAAATAATAAATATTTAAAGGTTTAATGGAATGAAAAAAGATTTAATATTGTTTTTTATTTGTTATTTATAACATTTTAACTTAATTCAAAGTAAAAATTGAATAAAAAAATAAAAAAAACTTCATCATAAAATCGCAATATATTAATATACCAACAATAAGGAGAAAGTTAAAAAATCGCCAAAAATTTATTTATGTGTGCATCTATTTTTTTTGTGATTTTTGTATTTAAATTGTATTGTATTTAAATATTCTAATAAAAAATTTAACCCCCTAAAATAACATATGAAACAAACCTTTCTCCCGTTTCGTGCACATTCTCAAAATATCGATTGAACGCGTTAACCATACATTTCTAAATTGGCTCAATCGGTAACGAGAAAGTTATAAAATTGCCAAAAATCCATTTATGTGTGCATTTGGAAAATATTTGCATTTTCTAATAGACAATTTTATTTCTAAAAATAACATATAAAACAAAACTTTTTCCCGTTTCGTGCACATTCTCAAAAATTCGATTGAACGCTTTAACCATACATTTCCAAATTTGCGTTATCGGTAACGAGAAAGTTAAAAAATCGCCAAAAATCCATTTATGTGTGCGTCTAAAATATATTTGCATCCTCTAATAGACAATTTTATTTCCAAAAATACCATATATAACAAACCTTTCTCCCGTTTTGTGCACATTCTCAAAAATTCGATTGAACGCGTTAACTCTACATTTCCAAATTTGCGTCATCGGTAACAAGAAAGTTAAAAAATCGACAAAAATTTATTTATGTGTGCATCTGGAAAATATTTGCATTTTCTAATAGACAATTTTATTCCTAAAAATACCATATATAACAAAACTTTCTCCCGTTTTGTGCACATTCTCAAAAATTCGATTGAACGCGTCATCCATACATTTCTAAATTTGCTCCATCGGTAACGAGAAAGTTAAAAAATTGCCAAAAATCCATTTATGTGTACATCTGGAAAATATGTTCGTTTTGTTTGTATTTTTTATTTGATACGAGACTTTTTGGAGAATGTCTCGTTTTAATAACGATACGATATTTTTAGAGTCTTTATTAAACCAAAGTCATTCAATTGGAAAAAATTAAATAAATTTTAATATTTTATAACTCTTTATTTTTTTACAATGTGCACTTGTACCATTTCCATACATTGAAATAATGGTACGAGACGAAAATTGTCTTTTATTTTTTATTTCGATATGGTAGACTTTCCTAAAGATGTCTTGTTTAAATAACGATAGGAGATCTCTGGTATTGTTATTAAAAGATACAAGATTTTTCGTATCGTTTTATAACGATACGAGATTTCTTCTACCATTATTAATATTAAATCTCTGTCGATTGATAACGAAAATAACGGTTCGAGACGCAGGTGCATAGTATAAGATTCTATATATTATTTTGTTGACATTATAATACAATTTAAAATTGTACAGTAGGCAAATATTTCAAAATTGTGTTATACTTTGATTTATAAAATTAATTAATCGGTGAATTAAACAGGAACTGCAAAGAAGTATTGGACTTAATTATGGAAGTTTTTGGTCCTTGTTATTATCTCGCAAACAACCTGAGTGCACCACAGTTTTGAAGTTTCCTGTATCTGATGTGTTACAACGTCATTCCTGCTCTTGCTTGTAGTATAGTTTATAATTTGATTAACACAAAATGACAATACCAGAATAGAATACCGTGATTGTACTTTTTGGATTTTTTTAAATTTTAGATGTTTTTTAGATTATGTTTTTGAAACGGAATAAAATTTAAAAAAATACTTTTAAAATTATGCTGCATGTTTAAATTATAATAGAACTTTCTAAAAAAATGTTAATGTTTTAATTTTCGTGTTTTTATTCGCGGTATTTTTCCTTTTTTTAAACGAGTTATTTGCTACAAATTTGTGTACCAGATCCCAGTTTTTTTGTTGGCTTCTCTGAAAAGAATTACATTTATACTAATATAAATTGTTTTAATTTCACACGTAGTGGTAGTTGATGACTCAACTTCATTCATTGTTTTTTGGCCCAAGGTGACATAAAAATTACATCACAAAACGGACCGGATTCGCGTACATCCAGATGTTTATGTTTCGGCAATAGATACCGTCAGTGAAACAGGACGTTGCTTGTCAACAGTTTTATTTTTATGATCTTACGTCATATTAGAATTAGCCGAATGGAGGCATTAGTCTATTGTTAACAGCTCAACGTAATCGACAAATTTTTACTGTTAATTTGAAACAAGAAATAGCGAAAGGTGTAGGGAGAGAAAATTAACTAAAGGATTTTTATAACTAAAAATTGTACGAAGCCGCAAAAATAAATGTTACGATAACTATATCTGTTAGCGATATTGATACCTGTAGCGTGCAATTACCAATTCATGCACATAACATTTTGATTTTCAGCACACACCACACACACGTGGGCTAGTAATTCTTGGTACATATATATATTTATTCAATCGCTAGGGTTTTGACTTTTTTAATACTAAACGTTTTTCTTTTATTATTATAACGTATTATTATTTATTTTTGTGTTTTCATACATTTCAATTAAAGCTAAAACTTATATTTTATAAATATGCTGTATTAATTTGTCGCAAAAACACTATAGTTTATTATATTTTACCTCGTATATATAGTTAAAATTTATACGCTTGTCAATCTGTACTATTCACAATTATAGTCATCACAAACTTTTTCCAATTTAAAATATTTAAATTTTACTTTTTGCTACAATTGCATTAGTATTTGTTAATTTCGAACTAAAATAAAAACATATTTTTTTTGTAAATTGAAATGTTCACGCGTTAAAGAACTATAGTTCAATTATTGTGCAGTGCAATGCATATTATTCATTAAACGGATCAACATTTTTATTAAATTACAGTCTAATTTGGATGAACAGGGTTGGTTTGGCCACGCTTGCAGGAGCCTAAAGCAGAGAAATAACTTCACCAATTGAAAGCGGTAAATGCACTGTCGAAAATGTAAAAAACCAATGATAACATTAAAAAATAGAAATTCACAGATTGCATTGCGGAGTAATTAATGCTTTTTAGGTTTAACTGAGGTAACGTTGAATCTTTACAAAACCTACAGAGCATAATAACATGCAACAACAATGCCTTAGCCAAGTGGTTGGTTGATAACAAAACAATCGTATCCTTAAGATACTGCAAGATAATATAACTGACATACAATGTTTGTTGCAGCAAGTAGACAACACTGATGTCATCAATGAAGTACAACGGCAAGCCACTCAGACATCACATGATGAAAATGTTGCAATTGTTAAAAACAATTTGCCGGCAGGAGGTATTGATATATCATTTATAATGTATTATAATTTACATGTGCTACATCAATTTATTTGTAATAAACATTGCCTCAAATCTAATATTCCCTTTTTGCATGATGGTAATTTTTCGTCATCTATTTCTAATTCCCAAAGGGTACTAGAACTGAACGGAAAAGGAAAAGAGGTTAGTTGCATGATGTAAACCAACTGTACCATGCATCTTTTAAGTAGTACAGTTGAAGAAGAGGTGTACCAAGGCTACCGATGACGCAAATTTAGAAATGTATGGGTGACGCGTTCAATCAAATATTTGGGAATGTGCAAGAAACGGGAGGAAGTTTTGTTTTATATAGAATTTTAGGGGATAAAATTTTTTATTAGAATATTTAAATATTTTTGAGATACACACATAAATGGATTTTCGGCGATTTTTTAACTTTTTTGTTACCGAGAACGTAAATTTTGAAATGTATGGTTAAGGCGTTCAATCGAATTTTTGAGAATGTGCACAAAACGTAAGAAAGTTTTGTTATATATGTTATTTTTGGGAATAAAATTGTCTAAGAGAAAATGCAAATATTTTTCAGATGCACACATAAATAAATTTTTGTCGATTTTTTAACTTTCTCCTTATTGTTGGTATATTAATATATTGCGATTTTATGATGAAGTTTTTTTTATTGTTTTATGCAATTTTTAATTTGAATTAAGTTAAATAACAAATAAAAAACAATATTAAATCTTTTTTCATTTCATTAAACCTTTAAATATTTATTATTTAATCGGAAGAAAGTTTTGTTATACATGGTATTTTTAAAAATAAAATTGTCTATTAGAAAATTTAAATATTTTTAAGATGTACACATAAATGGATTTTTGGCGATTTTTTAACTTTCTCATTACCGATGACGTAAATTTGGAAATGTAAGGTTAAGGCGTTCAATCAAATTTTTGAAAATGTGTACAAAACGGGAGAAAGTTTTGTTATAAATGGTATTTTTGGAAATAAAATTTTCTATTAGAAGATGTAAATATTTTTAAGATGCACACATAAATGGATTTATGGCGATTTTTAACTTTCTAGTTACCTATGAAGCAATTTGGAAATGTATGGTTAACGCGTTCAATCAAAATTTTGAAAATGTACACAAAACGGGAGAAAGTTTTGTTAAATATGTTATTTTTGGAAATAAAATTGTCTATTAGAAAATACAAATATTTTCCAGATGCACATATAAATGGATTTTTGGCAATTTTTTAACTTTCTCGTTACCGATGACGCAAATTTGTAAATGTATGGTTAACGCGTTCAATCAAATTTTTTGGAATGTGCACGAAGCGGGAGAAAGTTTTGTTATATATGGTATTTTTGGGAATAAAATTGTCTATTAGAAAATACAAATATTTTCCAGATGCAGACATAAATGGATTTTAGCGATTTTTTAACTTTCTCATTACCGATGACGCAAATTTAGAATTGTATGGTTAACGCGTTCAATCAAATTTTTGACAATGTGCACAAAACGGGAGAAAGTGTTTTTCTAAATGGTCTTTTTGGAAATAAAATTGTCTATTGGAAAATACAAATATTTTCTAGATGCAGACATAAATGGATTTTTGGTAATTTTTTAACTTTCTCGTTACCGATGACGCAAATTTGGAAATTTATTGTTAAGGCGTTCAATCGAAATTTTAAAAATGTGCACAAAACGGGAGAAAGTTTTTTTTTATATGGTATTTTTGGAAATAAAATTGTCTATTAGAAAATACAAATATTTTCCAGATGCAGACATAAATGGATTTTTGGCGATTTTTTAACTTTCTCATTACCGATGACGGAATTTGGAAATGTATGGTTAACGCGTTCAATCGAATTTTTGAAAATGTGCACAAAGTTTTGTTATATATGGTATTTTTGGGAATAAAATTGTCTATTAAAAAATGCAAATATTTTCCAGATGCAGACATAAATGGATTGTTGGCGATTTTTTAACTTTTTCCTTATCGTTGGTTTATTAATATATAGCGATTTTATGATGAAGTTTTTTTATTGTTTTATGCAATTTTTAATCTGAATAAAGTTAAAATGTTATAAATAACAAATAAAAAACAATAATAAATCTTTTTTCATTTCATTAAACTTTCCAATATTTTTTATTTAATCGGTTTTTTCATAATCCTCCTTTTACATATGCTTAATGGTCGCTGAGTTAAAACCGTCAAGAACATTACCTTCATATCTAATTCTCTACTCTAGTTATGAATTTGAACTAATTATTTATAAATATCTACTATTCTCTAAACACTAATCTTTTCTTAGAAATTCTATAATATCTGCTTCAACATCTAAAAATAGGCGGTTTGTTCTATCTAAACTGCTTCTTAGGAAATCCTCTCAATCATCCTTTTCTGCTCAACGGTTTCATGACTTTTCTGTAAATAAAATTAATTCTTTAAGAAATCTAATTCTTTACTAAACTTGCTAATGAATCTTTTTCTGCATTTGCTCATATAAATTTTTTTAGAACTTACTAAAATTATTAATTCTACGTCATCTACAACTTGTTTTGTAGATCTACTTATAATTTACTTAATGAATTTTCTTCAATATTTCATCCCATCATTCTAAAATTAGTTAATTTATCTCTTTCCACCTCTAAATTTCTTACTTTTTATAAGAATTCTATTGTTATTCGTATTTCTAAAATCTCATTATTAGATCCTTCTTTTCTATCTAATTATAGACCTGTCACTAATATTACTTTCATCTCTAAAATAATAGAAAAAGTAGTTTATAATCAAGTATCATTTTATTTAAACTTTTTGCTACCTGTATCTCAATCTGGTTTCAGACCTGTAGGGATCAAACATTCATTTATAAACTATCTCACATATTAATTATTATTAAAGATTATTGCAATTTCAATGTTACTTAATCTATGTTAATTTTTATGTCTCTGCTTCTCTTTCGATTTCTTTCCTTTTTCCTGATAGCTTGTAAACGAAACGGTTCGAGATTCACGTGGGAATAAAGATAATATTTTATTACACCTGAATTGTGTTTGTTTTATTTATTTTAACTCACAACAAGGTGTCTTGTTAGTAGCAGAAGTTTTTACTAACAAATTCGACAAATACTTTAAAATTGAATTGTTACCAGGAATTGTTACCTGCTCACAGTACTGAAACTTCTTTACTCAAAATACATAACGATATCCTTTTTTCTAGTGACAATTGTAATCTTACTCTTCTTCTCGCTCTTGACTTTTCCTCTGCTTTTGATACTGTTGATCATACTATTTTCTTGAAGCTGTTAGATGATTCTTTTAATATTAGGGTAGCGTGGGGCAAAACGCCACGTGGGGCAAAAAGCAGTTTTTCAAATTTCTCCGAATTAATTCAAGTCCGAAAATTTTTAAATTAATTTTTGAAAAATAGAACGCACCCACATTATTTATAATAAAAAACCGCGTGGTATTGAGCTTTGGTTATTTTATTAAAAAAGTTTCAAGAATTTGTAGGTCAAATATCGCTCGTGTTATAATTTTTGTTTTTCGATTTCTTTTAAAATTTGTTAAAATAACATAATTTTTTGTGATTAGGAGTAGTTTGTTGTGAGGAGAAATCATTTTTACATATAGAAAATCAACTTCAAATTGGTTAGAACAATTTTTTGTTAATTAAAATTTAATTTATTCTTCGCACTCTCTTTTGGGGCAAAACGCCTCTTTTACTTTGGGGCAAGAAGGCTAACTGTAATTGTTTTAACTATTTGTCAAGTTTTAGATATTTTCACTTAAGGCAGCCAATAATTGTAATTAAAATTATATTTTTAAAATTTTTTCAAACTTTTGTTTTTGTATAAGTTTTTAAAATTAAATTAAAATTATTTTAATTTTTGAAGATTGAAAATGGTAAGAAATTACATAAGAAAATCCACCAGATGTTCGTTTTATAATGATGAATCATTGAAAATTGCTGTTGAATCAGTAACGAATGGCATGCCACTAAAAACGGCTGTCAAAAAATATGGGGTCCCTGCAAGAACTTTAAAAAGGCATCAGATGGCCATGACCAAATTTCCTGGAAAAATTATGCTGGGACATTTTCACTCAATTTTTACAAAGGACCAAGAACTAGAACTAGTAGAAATTATTAAAAGTATGGAAAAATCACTCTTCGGAATGACTACAACAGACGTCAGGAAAGTGGCTTTTGAATTTGCCGAAAAAATGAAATTAAGCCATCCATTCAAGGTTGAAATGAAAATGGCAGGGATAGACTGGATGTATGGTTTTTTAAAAAGACATCCAACGCTATCTATTAGAAAGCCACGAGGTAGAAAAAGAAAATCTGAAAGAGCTACCTTGCTAACGTCCTCACCAAACAAAAAATTGCTACAAGAAAAAGATGATCAAAATTGTAAAAAGATAAAGCGTTCTAAAGATTTATTAGATATAAAAAGTAAAACGGTGAAACGAACCAAAGATACAACTCCATGTGGGACTTGCACACAAATTTTTTGTAAAGATGTAACTGGGCGTCAGTGGATCAAATGCCAAAAATGTGGCATTTGGCATCATAATGGTTGCCAAGGACTAGAAGAGGATTATAATGACATTTTTATTTGTATTGAGTGTGATGATTAAAATTACAAACAAAACATTAAAATTTTAATAAATTTTATTTTGTGATTTCATTAAAAATAATAAAGCATTTTTTTTCATGCATTTTGTTTCTATTAAAGCTATAACAATTGTAATCACAGCTTGTTTTGTTAATTTCTTAATTTGGGCCTTTTGCCCCAGGTATGGGGCAAGAAGCTCTTTTGATAGACCTCTATAGTTTTCCTCATAAAACACAGAAAGTGTATTTTTGAATAATTTAAATTGTAGAATTAGGTAGTGGACATACCAATCTAGCTAAGGCAACATTTAACTTTAAAAAATGTTCGAGTTGTTGGGTGTGGTCAACCGCCAAACGTTAGAGGTGGCTTTTTGCCCCATGCTACCCTACTGATTCTTGTCCATCTTGGTTTTCTTCTTATCTCTGTAGTCGTTTTTCTTCTGTTGTTCTTAATAATTTTACTTTTAACTCTTCTACCCTTACTGCTACCTCAGGGTTCTATCCTTGGCCCTCTTTTATTTATACTCTATACATCTGAACCACCTCGTATTATTATTTGTTTTCACTAGTCAACTATATGCTAATGATTCTTACATTTATTTATACTTCTTTTCCTTCATCTAATCTCAATAGTGTTCTTCATAATCTATCTCTTTGTCTTTCTTCAATTATCGCTTGGTCTGACTATGTGTCTTAAACTTAATTCTTCTAAATTTGAATTAATTTGTATTAATAAATCTAAACACTTTATTACTATTCCTCCTATTATGTTACCAGATTCTAAAACTCTTGATGTTTTTCACAAGTTTTGTAGTCTAGAATTTTTGATTCTAGCATGCTCTTTCTTCTCAGATTAATAGTGTTGCTAGAAGTTCTTACTTTCATCTACGTAGAATAAAAAACTTTTGCCTTTTCCATACGATCCTACTCTTCGCTTTCTTGTTACTTCCTTAGTTTCTTCCTTACTTACTAGGATTGATTATTGCAACTCCATCTACTATGATCTTCCTGATTTTACACTCTATCTTATAATTAAAGCTTTTAATTCAGCTGCTCGTATGGTTGCTCGTGCCCCTTTCTTTTCTCGTATATCTCCATATCTTGTTCTCTTGCACTGGTTACCTACAAAATATAACATAATTTTTAAAGTTGCACATTTGTGTATAAGTTTCAATCTAAATTATTTCCTAAGTATTTATCAGATATATTATTTGAACCTAGACGCGCCGGTTTACGATCGTCTTCTTGTTCTCACTTTTTCTTAACTCATGTCAAACACTCTTTTTTGCTAAATTTGCTTATGCTTTTTTGGACCCTTTCTATGGAACTCTTTACCTCCTTCTCCATCACTCACAAAATTCAGAGCGGATCTTAGGACCCATCTGTTAGCAAAATTAATTGAGGAGTTCTGTTGAACATCGCGGAAATAGCGCTTTATAAACTAATTGATTGATTGATTACTGCTGGGATGTGCTATAACAGATGAATAATTGGATTGCAAAACCTATTGCTTTCTTCTCGCAAAAGTTAAATCCAGCACAAAGCCGCTACAACACATTTGTTCGACAACTACTGGCAATTTATTCAGCTGTTCACATTTTCAACATTTTCTCAAAGGTCGAGAGTTTACGATATTCATCAATCACAAACCGTTGACCATTGATCTTACGTTCTAGCTCAAATCTACTAACGCCAAGAGAGATTAGACACCGTGATTACATTTCACGATTTACAACAGAGCTAACCACAATAACTTCAAAAGCAATAGACCTTGAAGAAATGTCGTAAGAACATGATGATGGTACAACACTCCTCGACAACACAAGCCCATTGCAAATCAACATTATCACAGTCAACAACTCTAAAAACATTTTCATCGTCGACACTTCATTAGGCACTTCACGTCCATTATTTCCAACAAGCATGCAAAAAGCAGTTTTTCTAACTTCCATTCCCTGTCACATCCAGGAACACGAGCAACACCAGAGTTAATTAGAATCAGGTACGTTTGGCCCCATATTGATGAAAACATCCGAAATTGGTGCAGAGGATGTCTGAAATGTCAACGTAAATCGCTATGCTGCGCTCTGCCAGCCGTATTTCCTCCACCAAGCAGCAGGTTTCAAGTCCACATCGATTTAGTCGAACCAATGCCATTATTGAATGGATAAACACACATTTTAACGTGTCGATCGTTTCACCAGATGACCAGTTGTAATCCCCTTCAAAAATACGTTAACAGAAACAATATTAGATAAACTATTTATCAACTGGATTTTGTTGTATGGAGTTCCAGAAACCATTACAACGGAAAGAGGCAGACAGTTCATATCATTCGCTTTCAAAAGATTTATATATACATATTAAACAAATTCATACTACCGACTACCATCCAGCAGCCAATGGTATGATGGAACAATTCCAGAGACCACTTAAGGCCTCGCTCATGGTCCACGGTCCAGACAAGTAAACCGAAGTATTGCCAGTAACACTGTTAGACCTAAAAAAAAGACTTAAAGTTAACACTAACGGAGTCTTCTCGAAGAGTTTCCAAAACCACAAACCTATGCATCGAAACACAAACACTATGAGGAAACATAAAAAGCGACACAACCTAGAACAAATATAAATGTGGGTTACATCCCAAAAGACTTCTTCACAATAAAGCATGTTTTGTTCGTGTGAACGCTTATCGCTCACCATTACAACCTCCTTACTATGGACTCTACACAGTAGTTGAACGACATTCAGAATACTTTTCCTTGACAAAAATTGGCGTAGAGACACGGTGGCCATAGACCATCTCAAACCTGCATACGTACCAGTATTGTCTACACCGTCGCCTGGCCAACAACAACAACGTCGATATCACCTTCTATAACACTTTCAACAAAATCTGTTCCGTCGTCGAACAGTCCACGAAAGCGTCAACACTACCCTACTTTCAATGTCATCCGATGACTTGTCAGCAACGACAGCAACATTTTCATCGACTTCAACACACTCGAAGCGATCAATCGACACCAACATTCTACCGTTTCAGAGAACCACCAGATCGAGAAGGACAGTTCGTTACCCATTTCGGTATTTTGATTAGTATTGATTAACAGCTTACGCTGGTGGGGAAGTATTGTTAGACCGCACACGCCACCGCCCATCTCTATTTTAGACACGCAGCAATTTGCAGTCTCTACCTTCTCTTCCAACTACTTCTCCATCACCTGCAAATTTCAGAGCGGATCTCAAGACCCAATTGTTTGTAAAAGTCACTGAAAAGCTCTGTTGAACCTCGCGGAAAGAGCGCTTTACAAGCTAATTAATCGATTGATTGATTGATTGATTGATTATTATATATATGACATATATATTTTCGATATATTTTTTACAATATTCTATAAATTCTACCGAACCCAAACATTCGGTAGAATATTGTAAAAATTATGGTCTATTACCAACATTTTCGATATATAATCGATATATATCGATATATATATCGTTATAATACTCGCTGTCGTAACCGATTTACGATGCGACGGGTTCAAATCCTCGATTGAATAAAATATTCCAAACAGTTATTAAACTTTATTTACAGAAGAAATCAACTATTATTAGTTATTAAACTTTATTTACAGAAGAAATCAACTAATCGTTTATTTCCAGTAAATTCAAACTAACGCAACAATTAACTTTTAAATCGTTCAAAATCTATCGCTATGACAACGTCAACAAACAAATCAAATATTGCTTTAAATAATTCACCGAATCGCTAATCACGAATTTCACTAATAACGAATATCACTAATCACGAATATCACTAATCGTTAATCTTCTTGCGACGTGCGCTTATATACTCTTCGCAAGCGTCGTTTCTAGATTCTTCTAGATGGTCCGATTCTAGCATACTCTAGAATGCTCCAGTCACTAGAACATTCTAGAATACGCTAGAATCTAGTGCGTTCGGTAGCACGGTTATAACAATATATATATATTGCTGATGAGAAGCAATTATAATTGGCGCTATATAAATACAAAATAGAAATACATACATAAAAATTATATACATATATAGAAAAATCACAAATGTATAACATTGAACAGCCGATAATTTTATGCTGTGCGCGACTCGTAACAATTCAGAACTCTAATTGTGAATAGAATAATTTAATACTAACAAGCGTTTAAATTTTAACTATATATCTTTGTACAAACCAATAGACAGTAGTGTTTTTTACGGCAAATTAAAATAGGTAATTTTTCGTATCCAACAAAAGTTTTTACAACAGGTTATGGCAAATGGTCTTTCAAAAATCGTTGCAATCGAAATATTCTGGCGTCAATGTCAGACAATCCTGAATCTATGCCACATTCACCAGCGACATCATTTTCAAGGTCATGTGTTCGTCCATCATTTTTCTTCGCTGTAGTTACTATTAAAAGTTATAAAAATATTTAAAATGATCCATATCTTTTAATAAATTAATTGGGTGACTGGTTAGCTTAGGTAACCATGCTGTACGCTGACCTTATCTCATTCTATGATAATCGTACGCCCAGAATTTCCCAACATTTTAAAATTGAAAATAATTTCTTGAATTATAAAAATCAAAATTTAATTGAATTACGAATTCGAATGCATGCTAAGTCATTTCACGGATTGTTCGTGTGATGTGCTTCTAAAGTTTTCGGTAGCACGTCTGTACGATAACCTCATGTCACCGGGTTTGAAAACATGCAGGGCCAATGTAACTTCACTTTTAAAATCACAATTGAATATTGAATATCCATTCTAAACTCACTTTTACATCATTTAAAAAATTACTATACAAGTAACTCATAAAATCAGTAACAAAATCATTAATATTATTGATATCACTTCAATCAAATAATTAATTTTTAATAATTTGTTATGTATAAAATAATATATATGCATTAACTTTACCCACTATTTAAATTGAATTACACAGAAACAATTCTAAAACCTTCGATTATCGCGATTAAAATCCCCGCAAAAATAACTTTTAAACACAATAAAAAAAGGTAAACTTTATATAAATAAACGTAGACAATATGTGAATAAAAGTATTATGTAAATTTCAGAAATTGCGCCCTTTTGACTCGCCCCCTTATTACTCACGCCCTTCTTTCCGTCTTGCACCCTTTTTGTTTTGCGCCCTTATTGTATGCGTATTTTTTGACCGCGCCTTTATTACACTGCGCCCTTATTGCTGTGCTCTTTTTGTCCGCGCCTTTTTTGCTGCGCCCTTTTGTCGTGATACCTAAGGTTCGGCTTAAAAGGCCATGATATTTAAAACATTTAGTACAAAATTTTGAGAGTATCATTAGTGTAGAGTATTACATGATTTAAATATAATTACTTATTCTGTCGATTGATCTTGATCTCGATCTCACTTTAATATTTCGTTGAATCGTTGATTGCAACGATGAGGATGACGACGATTTTAACGATGCTCGGTTTTGCCCATGAAGAGATGATGGCGGCGGTAAACATGTTTGTAAACATGATGGTGACGATGCCTTCTTATTAACCTCAATATAAGGAAACGACGATGAAGATGACAACGATGTATGGCGTTTTGACGACGATGGTGATTGACTCGGACTCATTTTTAGTCTTGATGATGAAGTCGATTCTTGATAGTGATGCCGTGTTGAACATGTTGATGAACGAGAAGTTAGTGATGTTGATCTGCTACAAGTTTGTAATCAAAATTGTTTAATACCAACAATAAATATGAGAAACGCAGTAACCGAAAAAATATTAAGTGAAAACATTAACTTTGAGTACAAAGTTGCAAATTTAAATAATTGGTTTTACACATCAACCACCTTTTTGTCGAAAAGGTCTTTCTATTGTAGAAATTATTGTCTATTTGAAAATTTTTGTTACCAAAATTTTTGTTGTCGTTGAATCTTAATTGTCTTTCGTAGTGGGCATCACTCATTTTGCGTCTGCACTCAGCACTAGAACTTCTTGAATGAAGCAGCGTGCTGCAGGTTGCACTGTGACTATCCAACCTCTTCCTGCTACTTCCCCCGCTGCCACTCCTGCTGCTGCTGTTCACACGTTGTTTTAGTGTCGTTGGTCTAGATCTACAGATTTTTTATTTCCGTGTTTTTATTTGCAATTTTGTTTATGTATAATACTTTTAATATACAGGTTTTGTTGAATGTATTTCTAAATCATGAATACAGTTATAAAACCCATGCTGACGAGAAATGACCTTCTACATGACAAAAGTTGTTCATTCAGTTTCTTCACTTCAAACTTCAACTGTCGCTCGCTTTCTTTCATTCTTTCAATCTTAAAAGTATGATGCGAGATAATGTGATTGAAAAAGTTACTACTTTTCATTTCATGGTAAAGAATTAATTTATAATTGAAGATTTTTCGTAAGCTGCTTGTTGATAATGTATGTGATCGAAGTCTGTTCCACGTTTAAATTTAAATTAATATAATAATAATTAAAAACAGTATTACTTTTTAAAACGCAACCTGATTGACGAGGTTGTGATTTTCTTTAATTTTCTGTTTCAAAACTTTGTTATGTTTCTTCGATTGAAGACGTAAATCATTTTCCAGAGTCCTGGTCAACGTTTCAAGTTTTTTTATTTCTTTGGTTTTTTTTTTACTCGATTCTTCCACTTCTCGCTTGTAAGCGGCATGAGATTTCTGCGCTTCCGACCTATCTTGTTTTAACTTTTCTATTCTGAAAGTTAATTATGATGACTATTCAAAATCGGATATAATAAAATGACACTAATTTCTCATCATCAACATTTTTTGAAGAGAGAAAGTTTAGTAATAGCATATTGCTGTCTATTTAATCAAAAATTATGCTTCACAAGTTAAGTAGTAATTTAATTGTTTAATTACTTTGTTTATAAATTAATGAGTAACGTATGAAAGAACGATAAACTAAATAATTAAATAAATATGGCAGCGAGATGTACAGCCAGATGCATTCGGTTTGCGCTGCAGTAACTGGGTTCAAAAGCCAAAAATGTCCCCAACTTTTACACACTGTGTGTGTGTTGTTGAATCTGGGTAAAATAAAAATTGTCAATGATATATAGTCGTAAAAAGACGGACATACTCTTTCCTCAGCTCCATAATATCAACATGGCAATTTGCATCGGACTTGCTGACCTGAGATATTTTATTAAGACTCAGAGTAATTTTAACTAGGCTTGAACTGTGCCGGCCCACCGGGAATTATCCGGCGGGTCAGCACATTCAACCGTCAAAAGAAAATTATATTTTTGTTTTAATTGAAATTATCTTTAATTGTATAAAAGCTTCAAATAATGGTTTACTTTCAATATGACCAAACTGAAACAGCAAAATCATATAATGAGGACTCTAACTATAATTATTTGTATATTAAACTTCTGACGTCAACGACGTCAATAACCTATTACATATTTATTTTAATGCAAATTTTGATTCAATTTTTCAGCAAATAAAAATTTTTCAAAATTTTCAAACTTTGAACTAGAGAAAAGAAATTTCTACATTGAAGTGGAGACTGTATTGAAAGAAAAAAGAATTATAGCCAACCAACTCTTGAAAGTGTGAAAGATAAATTTCGTGTCAACGTTCACAACGTTGTTATGAATCAGTATTTAATTGTTTTGAAAAGAATGCGAAATGAGCACTGCAATGACTGAGTGGGTCGCTCAAAAATTTTGGTGATATTGTTGATCACTTCAAAGTGAATTATTGGATTTTACAAGAAAATGAAAAAATTTTCAAACAACTCTTGAAAATGGGTATAATTTGATCTTTGAAATGGAAAGAGAAGACATTTAACAATCTGAATCAGTAGAATTACTTGAAAATATGTACAAATGAGACAATATGAGACAAGTCAATTTACAATAATGTATGCTGATGTTTTGCGAAAAAGACCATTTACTAAAAAATCAACAACAATTAAATAAATCATTAATGTTTTAAAATCAACTAGTGTTAAAACAACGAAAAAGATGTTGTACTAAAATATAAATTTTAGACTCTAGTGTTTTTTGTGTTTAAGATGTTTGACTAGAACTAGGGGATATTTAACTGTTAAAATTTGTTTTGCAAAACTACCATGTAATGTAATAAATATAATCATTTATGCAACTTCTAATAGAGTTTTTGAAGTTTAAAATTTCATTATTAAGCATGAAATAATTATAGAAACTAAAAAAATATATAAAAATCGAACTAAACTGAAAATAGGTAAAACTATTAAATTATTGAAAAAATTAATATAAAACTAATGATGAAGTGGGCCGCCATGGCTAAGTTTCGCGGGCCGGTTTCTAAGCCAGTCTGACCCTGACTTTAACGTGCTTATTATTAAAGCATTAAAGTGAAAGAGGCCAAGAAGATATCATCGACACAAATGTTTTGTTGAAATGTTCACCTACCAGCAGTTGGTTCTTGAGAAAGCTCATTTCTGTCTTCATCAGTTGAACCTTGCCTCTCGTCAATGCCAGCGGATAGTGAATTCTGTTTAATTGATCGATAAACCGTAATAAATTTTATAAATATGAATTTTTTTAATAAAATTGTTTATATTGAAAAGTTCCACAAATTTTCAAAATTAAAAAAAAATAATAGAAAGTTTAACAAATAACAACAGTATTATAAATAAAAATGAACGAAAATTACTGAAAAAGTTGCATTACTTTTGATCTTCTTGCAGATAAGTTAAAATTAAATATATTTTGGAGCTTAAAAGACTTGCAGCAGAATCGGAAATGTTTTCAATTTCTCTTTCGACATCTTTCACCTTTTCCTTTCGCAACTTTTCCAAGTCAGAAAACGTTAGAATGTCAACATAGGAGCAAGAGTCGTCCTACATAAAAAAAAATTTAGTTTATTGTTTTTAATTAATTTTCAATTTTTAAAGTATTTTTTACAAGAGAATGTTGATAGATCGAGAAAGAGAATAGCACTAAACATGGGCCATTCAAAATACATGTAGTTAGACGTTAAAATCAAATAAGTTGATTGAATCGAACATAAATATGTTAATCATATAAATGAATTGTATCGATTTAAAAGCGAGCATCTATTAACTTTTTTCGAAAGATGTAGCGTTGTTTTGCAGGAAAATTAATTTTAAAAAGTTCATGGTATACATGAATGTATCTTAGTTATAAGCGGGTCATTACCTTTGTTATACATAAAACACAATATATTTCAATATATCCTTTACTACCAATATACCTATGCTCTGGTGCATACGACAATGCCCAAAGGCCAGGGTTTAAATTCCACATTCTTATAACAAAATGTTAATCTTCAACTTATTAAATGGCTGCAATTCTTTGATGAAAATTAAAAATGCAACCTGTTCAATTGCACATTTTAATAAGGAGCAGAATGTTGTGAACTTCATGTAACGACCCGTCTTTTCAGTCAAATCTTCTATGACTTCAAAATATGATCAAGTTGAAATTTTTCGTTTGAAAAGTTGATATAAGAACAATCATGTAAGGTGAACTAACACGCATTGCTATATTCATTTTGCCAAACTTCATGTGTTGTTAAATTTTCAATTTGAACTGTCAAGTTTCTCGTCAAGCAGTCCAACGTTATATTGTACAGTTCATCATTTATTAATTTATTCATCGACACTAACATGTTCATTCTTGAAAGATCATATTATTTAATTGAACATTGATTCCATTTATATTATTTCGCTAAGAAAATAAAAATTACCTTTAATGTTTTAACGGTGAAATCTATATTTATTTTTGTAATATATCAATCAATCAACTTATTAGATGTTTAAATTTTAATCATAAAGAATTTTGAAGAAATGGTTGAATGCAGCATTTGTGTTTATAATACGGCTTTTTACAATTTCATTTTGCAACATAATTTTATCATATCATCATATAAATTTATAAAATGTTTAATATAACATAAATAATTGAAATTTGTTTTCACACCAGGTACCCTCTCGTCATAATATTTCATTGACATTCTGCAACGTGAACATATCTAGCTCAGGTGGTGGTTGCCAAGATACGTTGTATCATACAACGCAGGTGTCTTGCAAGACAGGTAAAATGCAGAAAGTGCTATTAATGATCAACATCGGCCAACAAAATGAAGTCTAGCATTTTTATTTTTCTTTTCAGATGTAAATTTGATTTTTGTACGTTTTCTGAATTGAAGGTTTACGACCATATATACTGTAACTAACCATAATTTAAACTGTATACACAAATCATACGAATCATATTATCAGAATCGTTGCACGGCACGAAACCAATAAATCTAACAACTCCCATGAAAAATAAAATATCAACCGACCCTAGAACATGCGTGGTGTGCAGGTTTTCACTGTTTTAAATATCTACATAACTTATCTTTTTTTCCATGCATGGTTCCGAATTTACAGTTTGAACTCTATATAATAAAGATATAAGGTCTAAACCTTTTATTTAATATAATCTGTCCATATCACATTTAATATGAAAACTTGTAACAAAAACGTACGAAAATTGTGAGCTTTAAAGTTTTAATAATTATATCAAAAAATCATTAAATGTACACATGTAACAGATAAACATACAGTAAATAAGTTACTAAATTTTTATATTTATAAGTTATTGTCTTCGAAAAATTCAAAATGAACGTTTTGAACAAATTTTCGAAAACTCGTCGAACAAATTAAAAAAGGTGTTGCACTCTCGAGAGCATCCTACTAATTTAAAACGTGCGTCGTAGAATATTACAGTAGGGTTATATTATATATTCATAAAACCACATACAACCAATCAGACATTTATTTGCTATAATAAAATTTACTATAATTTTTAGTTATTTCCTTATTCATTCATTCATTTATTTGCTGTGTAAATTATTGATGACAATAACAACTTATGAAAAAGTGAAATATTTCATTTTTTATGGATAATAATAAACTCATTAAGAACAAATTATAACGAACTTTTGTAAATAAATAAATAAATTAATTAATGATTGAATAAATATCAAAATGCATTTATATAATCCAATGAACAATATTCTATTGCTAAAATAACGTACAGAATAAAAATATATTGGCTATCCTAATGTGATTGAAATTGCAGATGAAGACATCTACAAATTAGATAATAGATAATAAACATTAACAAACAATGAAGAGAACAAGCAAATCAGTCAAAAAAGAAGTAAAGCCATCCAACCTGATATGCTTAATTTCGATCTGGTTTAGATATAATATTTTGACGACGAATGGTGATGATTCGATTACAAATACAACATCAAAGACACGCCCACAACAGACGATTCAAATAAAACCCAAGCGGTAGTCTAGAATGTGCAAACCCTGAAAATAATAAATCGCCGACATAACTAGTTCAAAAGGTGAGTACACTATCATTTTCACATGTAGAAATTTATACGTTTGTTGATATTGGCATAAAAACAAAAAAAGACTAGAATAGGGAAATAAAACTAATGATAAAATTAAATAACTATGATCTAAGCAATTACTTAATATATAATTATAAAAGCAACACAAATATCAAATTTGAAAAATTTCACACGAAAATCAATAAAAATAGCGTAAAATAGAGAATGTTTAAAAGCGACAGCAAAAACAGACTTGAAGGAACTATTGATTATTTATAATTGATTTCTGTTAACAAAGTAGACTGCACAATTACATTTAATCAATTGTAAGAAACAGAAACCAGCCGCTTACCAAAAATAACAATACTACAGTAATGCGAACGTAAAAACTGTTCAATACAATCCTAAGCATGCATAAAATAGAAGGAAACATGTCTGTACGTCTATGGGCAATGCGATTCGTAAAAATGTAATCTATGAAGCGAATGTTAGCAAAGATACTAGCAGTTTCAAATAATTTAAAAACTTCACAAATACAGGAGGATGAGCGAACTGCTTTAAAATTTCAATATGTCGTGGGTGGTTTCCAGAACTTCTTCCTGGAATCATCAATTCGAAAATAATCAGTAAGTCTTCAAATTTTCTAATGCTATCAGCTGTTGGGAAAAGATTAAAAACTGTTAAAGGTTAATTACACTCTTCCTAGGTTCAGACGAATCAACAACATGCCACAAACATCATATACGAATACACGCTACGAAGCATGCGATAGGCGGGGATATTTTTGTCACTGCACGCACTGTGCAAAAGCATCAGGCGACCTTAACCACTAGGCAATCAAGAAAAACAAATAAATATTTTCATATTTTTACGAAATCCTGCAATTATGTTGATAAAAAAATAAATGTTATTTTTATAATAAAAATTAAATCACGATTAAAATGCGTTGACGCAATTGTAATAAACATATGAAAACCTTATCCTTAAGTTGCTGGCATTTGCAGAATGCTAAAGTCATCAAATAGAGAACGTCTGTCAACCACGGGACCACGCTGTCTGTCTTTAAATTCAATTTAAAATAAATTAATCAATAAACAATTAGAAATTAAAATCGTGTTTGATTAATATGTTTAATCAGAAAAATTAAAAACTAGTTTTATAACATCTTATTCATTTAATGCTGCTTACCAGCCACTGTTCAGTGCAACACCTTTTACGAACCGCAGAGAGAAAGAACGCTTGCTACCCGCCAAGATATTTATGCCATCCCAAAAATTAAATTTTTTGGGTCTCTACTGAAAATATTAAAGCATTTTCACACGATCTCGTATGAATATTAGCTATTCTTTGTATCCAGTATTTTTAGTGTTTCAACATCTTTCTACAAAACATAAGATTGATATTATTTCATTAGGAACAGCATTTGTTTTTTTTAGTGGATTATATTGCCAAGCTATTATCTCAAGCTTTTCATCCAACACCTTTTCTTTTTGCAGAAAAAATTCATCGTTTGCATCACAACTTATAATACTCACGACATATAATTGTTAGGTGCAATTGTATCTGTATATATGAAAAAAAATTTACAAAATGGAAATATTTTTTAAAGTATTTTCTTTTCAGTAATGTCGCCACACAGTTAGACCACCAATCGCAATCTAGTACAGATTGGAGTACATACAAAACCGTTTTGATAAACGCTGCAACTACAGTTTGTGGGAAAACTGGTACAAAACGTCAGCATGAACGGGACACTTGGTGGTGGAATGACAGTGTACAAAAGGCAATAGCTGAAAAGAAAGCTGCATACAAGCAATGGCAAAAATTAAAGTCTGTTGATGACCACAAAATTTTTCGTGAGAAGAACAACTATGCAAGACGTCAAGTGGCACTGGCTCGGACAGATCAGTGCAGAGAGTGGCTCACTAAAGGCAAAAATGAACAAATGAAATCGCTGTATCGTATAGCAAAACAAGCAAAGCATACGAAAAAAGACATAGTTGGTGCCTAATGTATCAAAAACGACAAAAATAAGATGGTTCTTGAACAAGATGAGATCAGGCTACAGTGGAAAGAATTTTTCAACCGTCTGTTAAATGAAACAAATTCCATCTATGTCAACTTTGACGCTCCACCCATCGAAGGTCCGATTCTAGACATCACTGTAGAGGAGCTAACAGAAACTCTAAAAGCTATGAAGGATTGGAAATGCAGCAGGGTCCTCTGGACTCACAAATGACATTATCAAAGCATCTGGTAAGGCAGGTATCCAAACGTTACTACAACTTTACCGTGAAATCTGGAAAAATTGCTCAATGCCGACTGAATGGAACTATAGCATGACAGTCCCACTATACAATGGCAAAGATGATCCATTGAACTGTTCATCATATCGGGGTATACGTCTGTTAGAACACTCCCAGAAAATTGTCGAAAAAATCATTGAGAGAAGATTAACGTCGTGCATCACAATCGGAAATTATCAATTTGGTTTCCTTGCGGGGAAATCAACAATTGATACAATTCACATCCTTCGGCAACTGCAAGAGAAGTACCTCGGCAAAGCATCAACAACTATCACACGTTTTTGTAGACCTTGAAAAAGCATTTGATCGAGTTCCCCGTGAAACAATCAGGTGGAGTCTAAGTCGACAACTCATTCCAGAATATCTTGTTCGACTTGTGATGGAAATGTATACGAATACTAAGACTTTCGTCAGGACAACGGTTGGAAAAAAAGATGCATTTGACATCGGCGTTAGAATTCACCAAGGTTCGATTCTCAGTCCACTGTTATTTATAACTGTGATGGAAGAAATCACAAAGCCAATACGAACTGGTGACATTTGGAATCTAATATATGCTGATGATATTGTTTTAACAGGCACGTCTGAGCAGAATGCAGCACAAATGTTTGAAGATTGGAACACCAGACTCGCCTATCATGGATTCAAAGTCAACATCAGTAAAACCAAAGCAATGAACACTGGTGAACCCATTCAATCCACAGCTACTGGACGATGGCTCTGTTCAGTTTGTAAAGCTGGTGTAGGTAACAATTCAATCAAGTGTCAGCAGGGTAACCAGTTGTGTCACAAACGTTGTTCAAAAATAATTGGTAATTTATCTAGTGTCCAATTTTGTTTGTCCTGCTTGCATCAGTCTACAACAACAAATTCGAAAAGCAATGTTTTTGAAAACATTAAGGTAGAGACAGTCACATCGTTTCAATATCTAGGGGATGTTCTGGGTTGTACTGGAACAGCTGTAGCTGCCGTTCGAGCACGCATACGTGCAGCCTGGAATAAATAGCATATCCTTGCACCTATATTGATGCGCGTGACATACCACTACCACTACGATCAAGACTTTATAAATCTGTGATACTCCAAAAGTAGAAAATTTTTCAGTATGTTTTAAAACATAAAAATACAGCAATTACATTGAGCGATTTTAAGTGTTTTAGAAATATTTTCTATTTACTAGTGATAATAAGGTGAAATTATGAAATTATAATAGATCCCTGTGGGGTATGTGACAGGAGAGTGAAGACTAACTCGGTATTGTGTATAGGATGTCAGAAATGGGTGCATAAGAGATGTAGTGGTGTGAGGGGGGCACTGAAAAAGGTGGAAGGCACGTTCAAATGTAAGAAATGTGTTCATTGTGTGATTAATAGTACAGAAGGAAGGACGGGGTTGTGTGGTGGTATTGAAAGAGTGGAAAGCTTTGTTTACTTAGAAGATAAGCTGAAAGCGGATGGAGGATGTTTGAGCGCAGTTACGGCTACAGTTCGTGTGGGATGGATAAAATTTAGGGAACTTGGTGGGGTATTGTGTGGAAAGAAATGGTCAGTGAAGATGAAAGGGAGGGTATATAAAGCATGTGTGAGAGCAGCGATGGTATATGGTGGTGAAACTTGGGCGTTAAGGAGAGAGGAGGAAAGTGTACTGCAGAGGGCTGAAAGAGCTATGGTGAGGATGATCTGTGGGGTTAAAGTGAAGGATAGGAGGAGTAGTACAGAGCTGATGTCAATGATGGGACTGAATGAGGACATTGTGACATTGATAAGGAGATCGAGATTGCGGTGGTATGGGCATGTGTTGAGAAGGGATGAAAGGGTCGGGATTAGGCGAGCGTTGGAGTTCGAGGTTGAAGGAGTGGTAGGAAGGGGTCGTCCGCGATTGGGATGGAGAGAGCAGGTGGAGAAGGACAGGGTGAAAGCGGGGTTGCGTGATACTGAGGCGAGTGACAGATGTGGATGGCGTCGAGGGGTATTTCGGTTTCATCATAGGTAGCCAAACGGCAAACCCCGATCTCGGGGAAAATGTCGTCTAAACGTGTGTTGTTGTTGTTAATAAGTTGAAATTATGATGCAAAAGTTAAAAATTTGAGTCAGAGTCAAAAATTTTAACACGGAATCAGATTTTTTTGAGGGGAAGCCATTTTTCACCGGACTCCAACGTTCTGGTTTAAAGTAACTTTAAAAATAAAAAGTAAGTTCCTACTGAAACCTGCCTGCTGTCTGTTGAATATGTCCACCCTCCCAAACTGGTTGCTGAACAAGTAGTACACTGCCAACGTCAATCTATCTCCTGCTTGCATCAAATTTCTTTATTCAATCAAATGATACAAATTTAAATAGTGTAAATTGATATTATCAAGATTATCATCAACTGGTTCGATTGTTAACCTTTCGCCAGTGATCACTTTTGATATCTTTCTGAGTTACTGTCAGAAAGAGTTACAAAAGCAGATCGTCATGAAAAGTTCAATGAAAAACATTTTCAGGGCAATGATTTATGGATGCTCAGCATAGTAGGTAAATAAATATCTAAACAAATGAATGAATGAATAAATAAATAAAGTAAAATAAATGTTAAATAAATGAATCAAACACGCTGAAAAAAAAGAATAAAATGTTTAAAACCTTGCAAATAAAAACTGGAGACGACATCATTGGGCAGGTTGGGGTTGAAACATTTCTTTGAAGCAAACAAAATTTTACTTATGCAACTTATGTACAAAAATTACATAATGTCAAAAATGAAACGTAATCAAATGCTTAGTTGTCTTACCCGAGCAATTGAATAAATGTTCTTTTTTCAAAAGTATGTTGCTCTGACAAACGTAATGAAACGTTTGCGGCAAAAAAGCTGTAGATGAAAAGTACAACTCGTGCGTACATATGTGTAAGCACGGCACGGTACACGCCAGTATCGATCAGTTACAAAAGGTTGTATGACAGTCTATGAATTTCGGACAGGAATTTGAATAAGATGATCAGGAACAACAATGGCGCGAGACGCAACACGTCCGCAAGAACATATTAAAAGCAGATAACAGCTATCTAATAACAGGAAACATTGTTCAATTAAACTGAAAACATCAACTACCATTTGGACTAACGTTTTGAGAATTTTTGACAAGTTCCTCGAGAGTCTTCCTGCGGGGAAGAGTGAGACACTCCTTTGATGATTTGATATG